ACTTCGAGAATGTAGTGCAGAAGGAATTAGATAAAATGACTGCTTGGTCGTCCCTATGGAATCTCCAATTTAATCTGAACAAATGTGGCTGGATCTGCTTCGGTGCACCCTCAATTGACCTGAAATTAACGCTCCAATCTGCTAACCTAACCAGACTCCGAAGTGTCGTTGACCTAGGCCTGAGGTACTCTAGTGACTTGACATTCTCTGAGCAAGTAGCATCACAGACTAGAAAATCGAGGATGCTCTTAGGATGCATACTCAGGAACTTTCACGACAATGAAGCCAAGCTAATTCTGTACAAAACATGTGTCAGACCACTACTAGAATACTGTCCATTTATTATAAGCAGCACTCGCACACGTGACAAGCTAAGGATGGAAAGTATCCAACGATATTTTACCTCAAAACTACTTGGCTACGATTGTAAGAAAGACTACATCTCACGGTGCATGATCCTAAAACTTGACCCACTTTGGACAAGGCGACTTATTATAAACCTAATATTCTTCTTTAAGGTCCTTCACAAAATATCATTCTCAGGTAACAGGGACATACAATTCGCACAGGAAGGTTCTTACGATCTGCGTAACCAAACTTCCACAGTGACAACTCATTCTTTTAAGTCAACACTCCGTGAAAACTTCTTCACAGTCATGTATTCTAAAATATGGAATAGCCTACCCCTAGATGTCAGAACTTGCTCTTCGGTTACAAGCTTCAAACGCTCTCTATACAGACTGTTTCACTCTACTGATTATATTAATAAACTATTTACTCCTAGAACGAATCAACTACTAATCTACTACAGCACCTAAAAGACGCACTTCAACACCCTTAGCAATCTAAAAACTATAAATAAACTAGCAGCATGGATGCATAAAGACTTAGTACGGAACATACAGGATTAGTTTACCCTTAGAAATAGGACCTGTCACTCTATTGTAACCTTCAAACGCTTGCTATATAAACTTTTATCTCAATGACTATCCCTACCAGAACCCATCACTTATTTCTAAAACGCATCAGTCATTAGAACACTAAAACGCTCAGACTCATTAATACACATTATGACACTAAATAAACTCTAAGACTTCGCATAAATACGTGAAAACACAACTACAATATAGAAAAATATTTACTTAAGTATAATATACAATTGACATAAACATTTATATATGCATAAATATTAATGTCCTTTTCATGTTCACATACTTTCTCTTTCTGGTATTCTGCTGCTCCTATTCATCTTCTGGTCGAGGTCGAACAACCCTGCATCTAAACTGAAATGAGGATTAATTCCAAACCGTCTATCTCATAACCACTCAAATTCCATGAACGATCCAATTCTACCATTTGAAGACGCTGGCGAACATGCTGTAAATGAGTATTCATGATCTGAAATGAAGAAGCAACTGGTTTTCAAACAGTTTTCAACATTTTACTCAACTTACGAATACAGTCCGCCATGCAGACACAAATGGAGCAAATGGAGAATTCTGGAATCGACCTCGGCACCATTTGATGCAGTAAAACAACTTAACATGACCTTATCTAGTTTTCGTATCCACGATCAAATTTCTTTCCTGTTATAAAACTACGATAAGACTGCTGAAAAAATGGAATAAATATATCACTGATCTCAACATAATACATCAATAATCTTTAAGCCAAGGGTGCTGTTCACAACAAAGTTATATAGGAGAATTGACTTCAAGCTTTATTTTTCCCAGATATCTGTATTACATTCATCTGATGTCTGGGTTTTTTGTTAATGCGAAGACAATATTTCTATATCTCTTTATGTGCTACACAAACAGACTTTATAGCAGACTGTTCCGACTGACTCTAATGTCAGAAAGAACAACCAAACTGTAAATTCATCATACATCAAATTATGTGTAATTTATATAATAACTTATCCATGCCTGTACAATTGGTATGTTCCTACATGAACAGGAAGAAATATATATTATTATTATAATAGGAGTGGGCCTAGAAGTATTCAGTCTGGTGGGGAAGTTAACGACGTTATAATGGTCTGGTTATCTACATCATAAAATTATTTGAGCTTAGTCCTTCTCTAGGGCAGAAATAGCTAAACGAGCATAAAAATAACATGCAAATAGCATTGGTAGCACTGCAACCATAAGACCAAAGGGTCATTTTGCTGAATCATCAAATGAAAACTTAACGGGTACGTTCCACATTAACCCCACGGTGGTCTCAGCGAAGCCATTAAAAATCAACACGCCAAAATCAGAAGGCTTTATTTGTGCTCGACTAACAGTTCCAAAACAGTTAGCAGAAGCCCTCTGTGGACTACTATGTAACCCTACGAACTTATAGAAACTGCTCAGCGAGTGAAAAAGAGCCCTCCTCTCTCCTATCGTAACGAGCGAAGACCGAAGGCATCAACGAACCATAGAACGGTAGTATTAATTCCAGTTATATCGAGGGCATTGGAGAATTTAGTTGACAACCACGATAAGTAACCCTAATATACTCCATTCCGCCAGAGTATTTGGGCTAGATTGGTTAATCAAAAAGTATAATCTTCTCCCCCCTCATCCTTACGGATATTCTGACTAACCAGTCATTTGCCTTATTAATATCACCTTGTGTAACTTTATTTGTTCGACGCTCCTTTGATACTTATTGCATTATCAATGTACTTGAAGAATGAACGATCAATTCATGATTGTTTTCTCAAACCCAATTCCATATTTTGGCGGGAGTAACTGATACTGCAGTCATCGTTCCATCGTTCGCTGTTCGTTAGAAGACGGAGAAATACTATCAGAAGTATTATTGTGATTAATTGTTATGACATTTATTCTTAGACTTCGTGTACAATAACCTTATGGTCGGTCCTATATTGGTGCAAGAATAAAGGATTCTTGAGTCAAATCCGTTTCGGCTTATCACGTTGATTATTGCATATAGTTGTTGAAAGTCTTCTAAGGACAATGTGAAGTCCAGTGTAGTTAGCCCTGGACATTGATATGCATTATTGTTACTATTGCTAACACTTTTATACACATCGGACGACCAAAATTTTAAGGTGGTGACCTTGGCCACAGCGGTACCTCCGTCTTAACGCAGCTTACTACGAATTATATATGACCAATCTTCGCAATTATATTATTACTTTATTAGAGGTATATTCCTACTGGCCCCCCCTGCTGTCTTTTATTTTTGTTTCTCAAGCTTGTACTCCCACCGTCTTTCTTGCCATATACCCAGTCCTCTGGTTGCGCCTTCATTTTGGTTTAATTTAAGCTGCGTTTCAACCCGCATGGTGTCGCTCGCACCTAATTATTTCTCTACCTAACCGGAGAACTATCCGGCGAAATAATTTTTCAATTCGCACCAGAGTCATCATTCTTGTGTGAACTACACATTCCCTCCAAAATAACGTACCTCCTCTTATAGCTCTCAGCAAACCAGAAGCAGTGGTGGGGAAGAATTGTAATGGAATCCGCTAAAGGCCTGCAAGCATCCTAAAAACATCAAAGGGTAAACACCAGGAAGTTGTATGGTTCATACAGATTCGTTGAAAGGATACTAGTTGATAATGTAAAATCTGGAAAGCGATAAAGAGTCCTGAAGACTAAGACATGTTTCAGGCAAACCTAGAAATTCAGGAAAACTGGACACAGGTCAGTGGTATGTCTGTTTACATAAAAACCGTAAGTTGGTGTGACGGCCTGCTCAAACGCTGCAGAGAGTAGGTTACTTTGAGCATAATGACAACACGTTCTATGCAAAGTCAGAGTGTGACTAAATTATTACCCTAACGGAAGGGCAGGTTAGGAGTGCGTATTACGTGGATGATGTGGCAAGCGCAAATACTGTCATATACATCACATATATACGCTTAGACGCGCTCGCTCCTGATGATTTTTAGATTTTATAGAGGATATGTACAGTGGTACGCTGATATGTCTAGTACCGTTGTCACTTAAAAGGGTGCCAACCTTTTGGAAAGGGTCCAAACGGGGGCAATTAAAGAGATGATATGTTTCCGGGGTGATTCATTTAATGAAGGGTCGTGGAAGCTAGGACTTTTCACGCCTGGATACTGTCAGCTTAGAAGTGACATGGTCACTGCCTGCAAAGTCAAAAATGAATAGTCACTCAAACAAAGCTACTCTGTCATTAAGTCATTATAAGCTTCCTCGTGGCATCGCGCGAAGGATCCCACATAAGAGAGAAGAGACTAAAGTGAACCACGTCTCTTTTTATTTCCCGTTTTATACCCCCATAACTCTTCCCCGCCAGTTGTGGCTACTCCGCTTTCCTGGGAAAGCTTCAGGCGGAGGCTGGATAATTAATTGACAACACATGGACTGTGTCAAAATGGTTTGACGTCTTGAAACTCACACATCGTACTGTATCGGTAGGTGTCATCTAAACTCGGCCTTCACCAATGCTCATCTTTCCTTGTCCCGATCTTCTGAACAATACCTATTCATCCACACACTTTAATAATCAAATTTCACTATCTATTTTGAAACAAGCAATAAAGGTTAATAAAGCAGGATTTAATGAATTCATCAAATTTCGGTAGAACTCGGTAGAATTTGATGAATTCATTAAATCCTGCTTTATTAACCTTTATTGCTTGTTTTAAATTCGTATCGGGAAATAAGTGTTTTCAACACTATCTATTTGTTGGTACGTTTTTCACTCCAAATACAAATAACCTACGCTAATTGTATCTATTATTAATATCTCTTTTTTTAACCACGCAGGGCGACTAATGGATGAGACGATACAATTCGCTCACAGCAGCATAGCACACCGCACAATGCATACCATACATAACGTGTCTCTGCACCACTCCACTAGGAGTCAGCCAGAGCCATACCAATCGAGTGGTAGGTTGAACTACATAGAAGCTTGCTGAAGATCAGAAAACTTTATTCCAGAACCAGGAATTGAGCCTAAAAAAATCAGTTTGTTTATAATAGCTCGTAAAAAAGAAATTGGACATTGAGAATTAGAGGCGAGTATGTTGCGATGCGTTACATTTGGACGGCTGCGCACTTTATCACCACTGTGCCAGGGGTGTTTATCCCGGTACATATCAAGTGACACTGCTGATGAGCAAGGAGGATTCACACGATCCATATATTCAAAGCCACAGGTATTTATTTGATAAAACATGAGATCCAATCACACAGTACAAGCATGTTGTCCGTGATGGGAAAGTTGTAAAAATATATACTGGTCTGATAACTGAAACACCTACCAACTTTTCAGACCAAATGCATACACATCTGTTGGAAGTCTCGAAAAAAGAAACCCTGACAATACAAAGCCTTCATACTATTTTAATAACTCGGATGAGAAAACGCAACAGACAGAGACAAATGTAATTCTGTGATTTAATTACTTTCAGAATTTCTGACAAAGAAATAGAAAATTTAGGTGTAGATATTGCTGTAGCACGTATGGTATGTCGTCTAGGGGGACGTGTCCAACTTGTTGGCCAAACTGAATGGATTCAGTCTTACTATGGGATACCTCCGAGTTTACCAAATAAATATGATGACAAGTTCCTGCTCCAAACAATTGATCTTTCAGGTACTAATATTGTGTATGAAGGCTTGGAATTCCTACGTAAGTGAACGTTATTTAGATTCAGCTATATTTACTGTATCATTGTGTCCATTTTGTCTATTATGATTACATTTCAAAATCTGATATTTGAAAAAGCTTCTCTGTCGATCAAGAGTGTGAACTCACTTACCTAACGGGGCGTTGACTTGTTGTACAGTATTGCTAGCACTTACATCCTATATCGTTTTGTACGAGCTAGTGTAAGCCATTTTGATTTCCTTGTGCTCGTTCCTTGGTTGTGAAGTAAAGGTTCCTGGTCTTCGGTAAACTTCTGCGTATCTCGTCCCACCACTCGATTGTTGTAGCTTTAATTGATTCCAAAAGGAGTGGGAGAGTGGGACAAGAGAGCATGTGAAGTAAAACAATGAGTTAAAATGTCTACCCACTAAGTGTATGAGATTTTAATGGGATAGGCCGCAGTCCTTTTATTGCTGCATGATTTTCCAGCCTTCGCTTAAAGCTGTCTACGGACGGTGTCGTAGCTACGTCTGCCGGTAAGGAGTTCCAGGGACGACAAACTCGCAGTGAAATGACGTGGGAGCGCAATCCAGTCTTTGTCATTTGGTGAGCTATCCTTCGCGAATTCCCACAGACAAGACCATATGTACTTAGTGGCAGAAAACCTTTGTTTGGGTGATTCTGATCATTTGCAGTCCTATAAACATTAATCAAGTCCCATCTAAACCGACGGTTGCTAAATGTGAAGAGATCTCATTTCTTAAGCCGTTCATCATATGATTTGTTAAAGAAATTAATGAACATCCTTTGATGTGTGCACACTAAACAAGTCTGTCATACATTCTCCCACAAATGCCAAACCTTCTAGTGCTACAAGTGTTAATGAAACCTGTTTCCCTGGTTTCAATACAAATTATGTTCTAAAGTGTCTCTAGTTTCTGAACCCTTCTTGTAGCCTAGGTCCAGGTGGTTTGCCTAGTGTTATTCTTAAAAGTGTGCAGATATCCTGTGTTATTCTCCCATGGACATATTTAATGTGCGTCGGTGACACAGTGGTTAGGACTCCCGCTGACCATGCACATGGTCCGGGGTTCGAGCCCTCGCCGACGCACACCTGATATCTATGGTCGGCCTGCGAATTTTGGGCTACCGATATCCACGCTGAAAATTCCATACATGTACCAAAAATACGGTGTGGAATCAAGCTGTAATCAAAAATAAAAATAAATAAATGTCGTGCCAGCCGTTTGGAAGGACATTAAAATTGTACCTATACCTAAGTCGTCTACTGGAACATGTTTTAAATTTACACTTATTGGTATTACCTTTCCTTTTCTAAAAACTAAAGAGAATTTACTCTTACTTAATCTTCAACCTTCACTTAAAGCCTTTAACGATCCCAAACAGTTCGCCTATAAACACAGTAGAGGTACTTCAGATGCAGCTGCAGTCTTGCATCATAGCATTGTCTCCAGTTTAGACAAGGGGGCTAACTTTGTTCACTGCACCTTCCTAGATTACACATCTGCTTAGTACCTAGGGACATTTTGTTAAACAAGCTTGCTGAGACTCAAACTGACTGTTGGGTTGTCAAATGGCTGCATTATTATTTCTCAGAAAGAAAGCAGTACACTGTATGTCAGGGGAAGTCGTCCACTTCATTGTTTATTAAGGCTGGTGTGCATCAAGGTGCTGTCCTTTCTCCTTTTCTGTTGTATTTCTTCTTGCATGACTTGCCTGACTCTGATGACGAAATGAACATTGTTAAGTATGCCGACGATCTAACTATTTCAATGTCTGTTAATTCCCAGCTAGACTGTACTAAGATGAACAGCTTTCTATCAGGAGTTAGCAAATGGTCTTCGTCTAACGACTTTAAACTAAGTCCTTCCAAATGTCAGACTGTTAATTTCAGTTCCCGATGTAAAAGAAAGTTAAATGGAGCTGTTAGTTCCTATGACTGTTGCAAAATTGGTGATATTTATGTAGAAATCAAGTCTGAAGTTAAGTATCTTGGATTAATTCTTTCTACTGACCTATCCTGGTCTTCCCATGTCTTAGCGATTTCTAAAAGAATATTTCGTCTGACTTTTTATACTAAGAAGTTAAGGCACTCAGGCATAACTTAACCACTCCTCTTACAGTTTGTCAACTCGTGCATCTTACCTATTCTTCTTTACTGTTCACCCTTATTCCTTCCTGGATTGCTTTAAAAAGGTTGTCATACTTCGTAGAACTCTGAAGACTGTCAGTAGGTCGAGTGGTATCCCATTGGGCCATGTGGTTGACATTGTCACTCATAGGCACTCGGTGTCATGCAACAAACTTGCTCAAACCAACAGTCAAAGACTTCATCGACTGATGCCAGGTTTTGATTTGATCACGTCTAACTCTTTTCCAATCTAATCGTATTTTGACTAACATTGACTGCCGAGGAAGGTGATGCACAACAAGTGTTTTATTCGTCTCAATGGGTATAGCTTCACAACTTCATCCATAAACTTTCCATTCTTAAGTAACACTTTACACCTAACCTCAGGATTACTCACCCTATTATATCACCTAACACGGGTGATAAAACTCAGACACGTATGATCAAATACATCTAGCCTTTTCATGTCTTCCATTTTCAGTGACAATCTTTCAAAACCATGCAGAAGGACAGAGTGAACTGATGTTCAGCCCCAACAGCAACATTGAGAAATTGACACTGTTTTGATTAACATCCCAATGCAACAGTTCAAAGTTGAATTCTATCTAATTTTTGTCATTTCCGTAAGTAGGACTCTTCATGTCTGTAGAATCACCACCATCTGCCTGGCAACATTTGAACCTAACTGAAGTACATACAAACTGAGACAAAGCTGCACGGCAACTCACTTACTGAGTAGCATATAATGTACACATATTTATAAACTACCGGAAAGCCTGCTGCGAGTTTAGTAGGTGGACGTTTAGAACAACTGGCCACTGGCTAACTACAAGAATAATCAAATCAAAATATGAAAGTGATATTTAAAGTCTGTGTATTTGATAAAGCTTACAGTCATATATTGTTGTTTCCTGGACAAATGTTAGGTCTAGTTTATGATGAAATAATAGAGAAGATTTGTGGCTCAGGTGGATGATTTGTAATTAGTTGTGTCCTCTGAGCTGGTTGGTTTGATTGCAAAGCTTTCGTCATCCTTCTGGAAAAATCAGCTCAAGTTGTAGCATAAAATGAACTGATTTGAATTCTCCGTGAATGAATGATATAATTGTGTCTCATGACAGCCGCCTTCCTGACTGGTAATAGTCGATTTACATCTGTATTGATCAATTATTTTTATTGACTTGGAATTTGAACTTTTTTGTCACGTGATTTACTTTTTATTAGTTGGTAAATTTGACAACAAACCAACCAAGAGCCGATCGTTCAACAAATATGTAGAAGAAAGTGGAGATGGATCAGGCATGGATAAAGGAAACAGTTGAATAACAGTGCGCGCGCAATGCAGGCCATCACTCGAGTGGAATCGCAGCGAGAAGCGACGAGTGGGTGGTCGGTGTGTAAGGGTGAGATGGAAGAGATCGTGTGGCAAGTTGGAGATGAGAGATTATGGTCAATCGTGCAGCTAGCCAGCTGAAGAGGATGGCAGAAAATAGAAGAAAGTGGAGATGTGTTGGTGAAGTCAGCCTTATGTTCCACTCGGAACCCAAGCGAATGAAAATAATAGTAATAACAATTATTGTAGTCAGCTATTGTAAAAGCATATTTCCCATCGAAGAACTTCACATATTTGTTTGATAGTTATAGTGTTTGTATTTAAAACTTTTAAATTATAACTGTATTCGTGTTTAGCACATAATTTTTTTCAATTTATTTCTTTTACAGCTTGTTTAACCCACCTACAATATTTACGATTGAGGAGATGTGTACATCTTGATGATTTTTGTCTATCAAGAGTTGGACGAATTAAGGGATTACAATTTCTAGATGTCAGTGAATGTCCTAGTCTGACTTCAAAAGGCCTAGCTACATTGGGGCAATTAAAGTAAGCAGGTTAAAGGGACTTGTAATTCACCTATTATTAATATTGTCCCCTTGGATTCCGAGTGGTACATTCAGATTTCAGATTTATTGGTTGAGGATAGAAGGCTTGGAGCCTATATTGATTCTTTTCTAGTAAATTTCTTGAACGAATCAGTTGAGGTTGCAGACTCCACTTCTTCTGCGAGTCAGTTCCAAGATTTTGTGACTCGGTGTGAGAAGCAGTACTCAACAGTAATATGATTTCTTCTTGGCTTTTGAACTCTCCTGCTATGTCCTCTAAGGTGTTCCGAACTGGTGGGAAGGAAAATAGAGAATAGGTCAGGTCCGTAATCATTATTTGAAATTTTACATAGAGAGGACTTCAACAGCACATTTCCACTCTGTCCTCTTGTTCTCTGCAGTCCACTTCAGCTTGCTGACCACGATTACCCATAAACTTTCATCTCCTCCATGTCAATGCCGGAGCCACACCCATATCGTCGTTTACCATTCGGGTTTCGCTCGACTCCTATGGCATGGTGCGCAATATCACTCGACGGTCTCCTCAACTAATGTCCAACCCATTTCGATTTTCTTCGGAATATTTGCTGGGCACTAGGTTCTTGGTTGGTTTGTTCCCAGTTCCTTGCTGCTAATTCTTCCTACCATGTGATCTTCAGTGTAGAGCTAAAGAAGGCAGCTGTTGGAAATGCTTTTCATGACGCGCGCGCCAAGTTTCTGACCCGAATAGAAGAAGTGACTGACTTAACATCTGGGTTGGAGATCCAAATTTTGTTGTGTTTGCTTAATGCAGCAAGCAGATTTCCAAACTGATTTCAGAGTGATGAGGGGCAATCTTGACACCTTCATCCCGTGCACACTAGTGACTGACTAGAAAACGAGTTCTAGTGAGTTGTGACCAATTAGGTTCACGAAGCCGGGTGTAAGAGCAGGCGCTTGGCAAATGACATTGCCCAGCAGCAGCGCTATAAGTCGCAAGATAACAGAAGTGAGTCTTTGGATCATAGAATCGTAACCTGTAGGTCCCGAAGTGCGTCCTGATGACGACTCCCGAACTTCTAGATCGAATCAGTTGTCCAATACTCCCTTCCATTTTTCAGTAGTTCTCTAACTGATGTCAATCCGTTACCTAACCTTAAAACCAATTGTTTATTTTTCTTATCCTACTGCTGTTATGCGATGATTTATGGAAATCACTGGGGGGGGGGAGCAAATAAACATTGGCCCTTCTTCATTTGATGCTGGTATGCTTAATATGTTCTTCATATATCGTCCAACAGATGCTATCATTTCTAGTGCTACAAGTGTTAAAAATGATTGTTTTTCGTACAAGTGATGCCCACTTGAAACCTATCCAGTCCCTTGATCCAAATGGCCTGCCCATTATAATCCTCAGGAAATGTGCAGACATTTTATGTCATCCTCTCGCTAGTATTTCCAATGGATCATTTTTCCATTCATGTTGTGCATGATTCTTGGAAGGATATTAAAATTGTTCCAATGCTTAAATCACCAAGTGGACTATGTGTTAGCTTAGAGCTGAAGGAATTAATTACCTTGCCATCTTTAAAAATAGTAAAAAAAACTGTTTTTTCCTAACCTTGAACCTTCATTAGAGACCTTTAATGACCCTAAACAACTTTATATAAACATGGTAGGCGTACTTTGGGTGACACTGTCGTCTTTCATCAATGTTGTCTCCAGTTTATGCAGAGGTGCGAAATATGTTCGGTGTGCCTTCCTAGATTACACATCTGCCTTTGACTCTGTACCCAGACCGCTTTTGTTAAATAAGCTTGCTGCGACACAAGCAGGGTGCTGAGGATTAATTAATGGTTGAATTCTTACTTTACTGATAGGAAGCAGTACACTCTAATGTGATGGGAAGTCTTCCACTGATTAACTTACTCTAACCGATGCTCCTCAAGGTACTGTCCTTCCTCCTTTTCTGTTTTCTCGCTTCTTACATGACTTACCTTATTCTAGCGAAGGCAATTTTGTTAAGTATGACGATGGTCTGGTTGCTTCCATGCCTATTACTTCTCGGTCAGACTGTTCCCAAATGAATAGCTTTTCCTTAGAAATTAATCAGAGTGATCCTTGTCCAAATGGCCTCAAAGTTTAATCCTTCCAAATGTGTCAGGTGGTTAATTTCACTTTCAGACACAAGCGCGATTTACATAAATCGGTTTGTTGTCATGATTCTAGTATGATAGATGGCACTGAGGCTGAAACTGAGTCAGATACTAGATACCTTGAATTTTTCCTGGTCTTCTCACGTCATGTTGGTTTCTGATAAGATTTATCTTTTAACGTCCTACGAAAGGAAGTTTAGACAATCCGGTATCATTCAATATCTACTTTTACAGTTGGTCAATTCATGTAATCTACCTATTGCTTTTTATTACTTCCCCTTAATGTTTGTCGTGCGATTTAAGAAAGACTTTATTACACTGCGAAGAGCACTAAAGGTTAATGGGCTTTATCGCTAAACCAAGTTGTTATCACTGTTGCGGACGCATACTTGAACTCACTCATGCAAGGAATCGGTGAATATCATCTTGTCATACTCTGAGCATCCTCTCTATACACAACTCTCTCTCCTTGCATTTCATCAAGTGGGTTTAAGAGCAACTATGAAAGACTTTATGCTAGGAAGACTAGGCATAAAACTTTGCAGTACCTTATTTAGTAGGGACACATTGTAAGCATTGACAAAAGTGTTAGGGAAGACACTTGTAAATTACTGCGAAACTACTAATAAAAGAAAGAACAAAAGGAACGCTTTACTTAATGTTATTGTCGATATTTCCATTTAAGTTTTATGTTCATATTCTTTCTTGTTTGACAATATAATCAAATTTTAATGTCCTGTGAATTGGTTACAGGATTTCATCATGAGCTAACATCAATTAGAGAACCATTGGAAGACCTGGGAGTATACTGGACAGCTGCTTCCTCTCAGTTTGGGACTCTTCACCAGTACGCATCCACCGTCAGGGGTCGAACCCAGGACTTTCTGGCTACAAGGCGAGTTCGTATACCTTTAAACCACTGAAACCACCCGATCCAATGGTCACTCTATGTATTCTAACTTCTGCCAGTTCACAACATAGCGTGAGCACTAGCCATAGGCCATTGGATCGGGTGCCAGTAGTAGTGACTTAATGGTCTACAAGCTCGCCTTGTAACCAGAAGGTTCTGGGTTCAAACCCTGGCGGTGAGTGCATATTGTTGAATAAGTGTCCCAAACTCGGATGGAACAGCTGTCCAGTACTTCTTGCCAGTTCTCCAATGATTCTTCAACCGATGTCAGTCAGCTCATAATGAAATCCTGTAACCAATACTTGAGAATGTCCTATTAATTGTAAAGAGAAAATTAAACGCTACACATATTGTACTGAAAAATTTTATATTGTATCAGACGTACTTATTTGGAATATAAAACCCAATTACTAATTTTATTTAATTGAACATTTTGTTTATCGTATTTGTTTCCTTTGTTGTTGCTTAACACATTTTAGAGATTTACGTCGTTTAATTGTTAGTGGTAATCCACAAATTAAAGATAAAGAATTAGTCTGTCTACTCCTTGAAGATGATTTACCGAAAGTATACATAGATGGAGTTGATTATATCGGTCAATTGCCTAGTGAATCAAAAGAGAAAATTCTCCAGTTAGTAGCAGCAGCATCTACCACAACGACAACAAGTGATGGTGATACAGAGATGAGTGTTCATCAATCACGGGAGAAGATACAAGAAGGCAACGAAGAAGAAGAAGAGAAGGTGAACAAAGAAGAAAAGGTATATTTAATTGACAAAGCATAGATGACATTGTACAGTTAAAAAACACAACAGCAACAATAAACCAACTATCTCACTCCCTCCCTCATTATCAAATTTCAAATGTAAATAATAATAATAACAATAATAATAATAAATAAAACAAAACAATTATCACAGAAAGTTGACTTGTTTTTCTCCACATAGCTCTTCTTTCTTTGTTGTTGTTGTAGTGTGCTTTTTCATTTTAAAGAAATTATTTTGAAGTGTCTATTTGTTCTATAAAAGTATCCAATTCATTTGTACAGTCTGTATTATTTACATTCCATAACTTTTTAACCTAAAAAACAAACGGATGAACAAGGAAAAATAGAGGAAAAAATTTAAAAAATAAATAATGCTACTTGTGGATGATGATGATGATGACGAGATTTTTGAAGTATACTGCTGCTACTGTTGTAACAACAGAAGACAAGGGCCGTCAACAGATCGTTTTATTACGGAAATCAGCACGTATATATATATATATATTTCATGTACATTATTATAGCTTATTCAAGCAGACAAACACAGTCTTCTGATTGGTTGTTTCTGGTTTCTCGGAAAGTTAAGCCATATATTTGCGAATCTTATTTGCCCACGTTAAGTCTGCTGTGATTGGTTGTTGAATCAGCCTTGTTCATATTTTCTCACGGCCAATATGAGTGACCTAGACATTGATGTAAATTAATGTCAATACCAATTGGCTAGCAGCCTGCTCTCACCACACTATTACTACTACTACTATAGCACTAAAAAACAATGGGAAGATCCAGTTGATGGAACTCACTCATATTTAAGGATTTAAAAATAGGCCCAAGATTACCGAGAAATCCAAATCCCAAAGTCAAGTTACTGCGGTTATACTAACCAGTTAGGTATAAATGTTGTGGGGATTTCGAATTAATTTCATCATGAACACCGACATCAGTTAGCGAGAGATCACTGGAAATCACCAGGGAGCACTGGACAACTGTTTCGTCCTCCATAATTCGGGACTACATCAGTGCACACCCAAAAACCTAATAAGGACCTTCAGGTTACACCAGCTTAGTGACAGAGAGAATAGAAGAAAGTGGCGATGTGATGTTGAAGCCCTATGTTCCACTTGGACCCCAGTGGAATAGTAAATATAATTTAGTATCCAGTCTTAGGGGGTGAGTTACTTGCTACTTTCCCATATTTAACTGTGCTTGCAACCTTATTACACTAGTGTAGGTCATATCAACCAACCCATCTCGAGTTTTACGACATCAACGAATCCAAAACAGCACTATCTTCATCGTACATCATATAAGTTTAACTGGTTTAAAAGCAGTATACTGTCAACCAAGAGGTTACATGTTGGAACCTACAGGGATCCCAGATACCGTGATTTAAGCAGTCGCATAATGTGATGTCATATATACATACACACACAATAGACATAAAGTGGATGAGGTGATTTTATCAGCTTTCATTTCACAATGAGTGGAAACTTCACTCATCCATATATATATATATATATATATATCACTGTAGGTAGTGTGATCCTCTATATAACCATTCATTTTAAAATTGAAACATGAGGTGATCACATTGCCCGATGGGTGCCGAGCTGGAATCATACCGCGCTATCTACTTTTTCAGCCCGAGCAACTCGGGGTAGTACCATTAGCCCATTTACACATAATAATTGTGTTAGGGCGAACAAGCCTCTTTGTTAGCCATGAAGTAGTGATTTACGCAGGTACTGACTGATATAACAAGCTGACTGGACGGATTTTAATTCGTTTATTTATGGCTTAATTTTCTGAGGTATTGCGACGTCATACAACCAATCACATTCGTTTATTGATTTATGGTATTTTAAATATAATATACTATAAATTTTGTCTAACAAACGTTGTTGTTGCAGTTGTTGTTTTTCACAGTCTGACTTCTGTGTCTAACTCGCACTGCGGAAGATGAATTCAAATTGGTCAGTTACAGTGTCGTGTTCTGGTGGCGCAGCATTCTAGTCAAATTAGACGATCCTACAACCCAGTATTACTCCTTACATAACAAAATGTGTGGTTCATAACCTGAAACATGAAAGACCTGTTCGACGGATTGATTGACTCGAAGCAATTCAAGAAATCAATAATCCATCATGATAATATATGCAACACAGTGTATCGTTTTATAGCTTGGCTTTAGTTACCCGAATAGAGGAAGAAAGAGAGAGAGACAGGGTCAAAGTTCAACGCCAGCTGATAACATTTAACCTCAAAGTGCCAATAAAATGTAAAAACAAAAAAGAGTATTGAACAGTTTTCTTTTTCTACTCACCTCATCACTATAAGCTTTAGCATCCAAGTATAATTGATGACGAATTTTATCATCTGACTGAAATCCATTTTGTGTTTGTACACTTCCACGTCTAACTTCTCTAAGTCTACGTAAACTATCTTCCATTTTTCTTATTGATGTAGACACTTCGGATAGCTGAATTGTATAGCTAAAATTAAAAGTATTTATAAATAATACATACATAAATTAAACAGCCAGTATATATATATATATCCATATCACAAAATGGTATAATTAATTTACAGTCGTTTTTATTAAGAATTCTGGCGTCGGTGGTTTAGCAGCAGCAACAGAATGCTTGCCTATCCCACAAATGCGATCTGGGTTTCAATGGTCGGCCGACAACTGTCTGTCTGTCTGTTTTCGACATAAAACTTTGCACATATGTGCGGAAGTTCAAGTCGCCACACTCAATGTACCAAACAAAGCAACAGAAGAAAGTACAAGAGATGCATACTAGAGACAGTAAACAGAGGTGTGAGAAAAAGGAATAGTAATAACGAAGAACAAAACAGTTTCATTGGAAGTCGCAAGGAGTGGATGCATCTGCGCTAACCATTGATAACGATGAGTTTGAGCCATATCATCACCAACTGTTTCCAACCATTGGTTTTTACCGTCGCGAGAACCCCAACCAGTCAGGAAGTCTACACCTTCCTACGTGTCTGGCTTAAACTAAGTGTTGTGGATTTCATTGACTGGTGAGGCCATGTTTTGGTTTGACCGCCGCTAGCTCTTTTCCAGCCTGACCCTATGTCAGCTAACACTGACCGTCACTCGAGGAAGGCGTTGACTAGGCATCCCCGTAATACATGTCCTAACTATCTCAGTCGATGTAACTACACAGCCTCGTCTATTGATTTCTCCTCACACCTACCTAGCACTTGACCGACGCCTAACCTCAATATTGCTCACCTTATTATACCACTTCACACGGGAGATAGAGCGCAGACACCTATGATCAAAGACAGCTAGCCAAGCTTTTCATATCTTCCACTCTGAATGGCCAGGTCTTGTTCACAGCCATAAAGGACGACGGAGCGGACTGATGAGCAGTACACCCGCCCTTTGGTTGATAGTCGGATATCGCGTCTACGCAAGAGACGGCGTAAACTGACATATGGGAAACTAGCCCTCTGTATCCGGCTGACGACACACTTCTTTACCCGTTTTAGCCAATAAAGTGAACAGGTTGGGCATCAGGCAGGTAATCCCCCACCTGATAAAAACTCCACTGTTAAAGCAACTTTAAAGTTGACGTTTGAAGCCCTATTTCCCACTCAGAATGCGCAAAGGAAAAAGTCAACTCTGGAAGCACTTATGATTTACTCAAGCTATGGAAAGAGAGAGAGAGCTTAAGAACGGCCCATGGCACTGTTGATGCTCCATTGACAGTCCTTGTATGCCTGAGCTTTTCAGAAATCCACTTTATCCGACTAGTGTTAGCTATTTTGGTGATGAGTCGAGAGTGTCAAACGGTGAAATAAAGAAGATCACGTGAGGAGGAAATGAAATCTTATGGGAAGTCGTAGAGTCAACTGAAATGACCTGCAGAGTACAGAGTGTGAGATAGACGTCCTGTCGAAGGCATTATATTTCACTTGCACAAAAAAAGGAATGATTAATAATAATAATAAGCGTTAATATATAGCTAGAAGTTAGCCGTATAAAATCATTTACATTCAATTATTTAGCAATAGTACATCTTAATTTGTGGTTGGTAATGGCTAGCATTAGAATCCAGGGTGAAACTTCCACCCTATTCTGGACTCGTCAACTAAGTGTGTCTGGTGGCCACAGTGCAGAGTCGACTGATAGAGTTCAGTCTGCACCAACACAGAAGGACTAGACACATGACACTAGTTAATACCTAGTGTTCAGTCAAAGGATTCATTTCAGCCCTCCTACAGGAAATCAGTTGCAAGCCTGAATAGCTCAGTGGTAACATCTCTGACCACTCGCACTCCTTTACCTCGCTAAGCTAAAAATAATGCTGGTAAAGAGAAAAGGTTGGGCATGAGGCGGCTAGCAACCCTATCCTGTAAAATAAACACTGCTACAGAAACTTCAAGCCACTGGTTGAAGCCCTATGTTCCACTAGAGAACGTGAAGGAAAAAAAACATCTCTGACCACAACTGGGTGACACGGATTCACATCTCAGAAGGAACATGGGTTCCTTCAAAATTTCAGATGCGCTTTGCTGACTAGTGCATGTCAAAACACACGGAATCTAGGTCCAAGGCTTCCTGACGATTGCTTCCAATCATCTGACACCTGAATATCCAGATAAGTAAATCAATCACTCGCTTCTCTGGAAATCTATATTCTATTTGATGCTAACTATATTTTTGTAAAATATGTCGGCAACGTAATTTAGAGTGATCAATGAAAAAAATGTGAGTACTGGACAGCTGTTTCGTCCTGCTTTCAGGACTCCTCACAGAGCGCACCCACAACTGCACCACCAAGGATTGAACTTGGGAACTTCAGGTTACGAGACTAAGCTACTCATTGACTATCATCCAGCTACTTGAACTGGAATTCAATGTCGCATAGATTTTAACTCTATCAGTTCACGACGCTACTCACAACCAATGCCCTCGATGAGCGCATCCACTACACTTTGACATGGTGGACCCCACTGTAGCAGCTCTAGGAAATCCATCCAGTAGCTATCAATAAGCTGGTGATTGCTGCTGAGATGATTGGTGTGTGTGTGGGGGGTTGGATGAATTATAGCTGTCAGATTTATTTTCACAAACCAACCACCAACAATTAAATCCAGCAAGTGAAACTTACTCATTAGTAATTTTTGTGACACACTGTTGTAGTAATTTAGTTAAACAGGCTTCAGTACTTGTTAGTGATTTTGATAAGTTTGATGCTAAATCAGAGAATTTTTTTAAAGGATTCACTAAATTTGATACATAAGATGATGAAGTTGTTGCAAAATCTCGATTAGTCCAACGATACTGACGTGGTATATCTAATACTTGACGAATATGGACAGAACAGTTTTGCTGAAGAAAAAACAAAGAAGAAAGTTATTGTATTTTTTTACACAAAAATGTGAGAAATGAGAACAACATATAGCAAATAATAAATATATAATTATATTTCCTTAGGTTACGAATAATGTAACGACAGAAGACAAGGGCCAGGCAACAGATTGTTTATTAAGGAAAACAACACATATTCATAGATTTTCATGTACATTATTATAGATTATTGTTAGCAGAAAAATACGGTCTTCTGATTGGTTGTTTCTCACTAGAAGTTAATCTTTCATCTCTTTGTGGCTGTTTCTTGAATGTCAGATCATCCATCTGCTAATTGTGTCCGCCTACGCAAAGTATGCTGTGGTTGGTTGTTGAATCAGTCTTTGTTATTGTTTTCACATGACCAATATTTGGGACATAAACATTGACGTAAATTACTGTCCACCAATTTGGCTAGCAGCCAGCTCTCACTACAATGGAACACAGGGCTTCAACAGAACGTCTTCCATTTCATCGCGTTCTCTGCAGTCATCGTTAGCTTACCTCACGATTGCTCGTGAACTGTCATTTCCTCCTCATATGTGATCTCCTCCATATCACACTACCTTCGGAGTGATGCTCAAGTACTCGTCATTTTCTGTCTGAGGACCTGATTGGTGCACGATGTCACTCAACGGGATCTTCAGTATGTGTGTGTATGTGCGTGTCCGATCCATTTCCTTCTGCGTATTTCTTGGCCGATAGGTTTTTGGTCGGATTTTCTCAGAGTGAAAAAAGTGATGTCGTTCAAATCTCTTCCGTTGTTATTGATTGGTGCTTGTTGTTGTTATTGATTGGTTAATATTATTATTTCCTTTAGTTCTTAGAGGAACATAGGGCTTCAGCTGCACGTCTCTATTGCATTCGGTTCCGTACCAACGTTTTCGCCCGGTTCCACATTTGCCCACATGCTTTCATCTCCTATTCACATGACCTCCTCCAAGTCACCCTTGGACGACCAACTCGCCGCTTCCCTTTCGGGTTCCACTCGAGCGATGTCACTTGATGGATTCCTCAGAGTATGGCCAATCCACCTCCATTTCTTCCTGCTTATTTGTTTCACAATCGGCTCCTGGTTGGTTCGCTCCCAGAGACCCATCCCTGTTGGTGATCTTCTCTGGCTGGCCATCTGATCTTGAGTATTGAGCGAAGACAGCTGTTGATGAAGGTCTGTAGTTTGTTTGAGATACTCTTTATGACGCGCCAAGTCTCGGATCCGTATAGTAACACTGACTTCATATTGGAGTTTAAAATCCGGATCTTATTTTTCATAATGAGTGCTTGAGCCCGTCGAGGTTAGTGCCGTTATCGATTGGTTATAATCCTCAACTCTATATTTTCCCTATGTTCAATTGAAGTGCTGTCTCTAAGTGTACACTGGCCTAATTTTATTATTTACATTAAGACAGAAAAAGAGAATGGGGGGATGCGTATATATCCGGTCTGGGCGCCGGGCAGTATCTCAGCCCTCACACGATAAATCAAATGAAGCAACAGTTCAAATCGATGGCTCGAAACGTTATCGGATATGGCCAAGAATCGTAATCAATGGCGAATGTGTTGCAATTTCCTTCTTTCTTCCCTTCCCGATGATAGTTAACGAATGCTGTTTAAACTTGTTAAGCATGACTGTTTTCCTTCCAGATGAAGTTCTTTATCCGTTCTCTACTTATATATATATATATATATCTTTTGTTTTCTTTTGATCTATGTTGTTTTATTATTATTGTGTGGCGCATCCTTCTTGGTGCCATATTGTACCAAGTTTTTATGCGTTTAAATAAAATATAATAATAAATAAATAATGTCACATAAGCTTTTTGTATCCGTGCTAAGATATCGTCAGTAATCATTCCAATGGGACCGATTTAACTTTGCAAATGAAGGAAGTTGTGAAAACGCTCCACCGCTTCACTCCTCATCTCCAAGCTAAGATTCAGTGCCGCAACATCATCTTACATAATAATATAACAGGAGCCAGTCGCATGCTCAACACTAGCGAGGTCCACCAAGCCAGGTAAGAGAACAGTTATTCGTCGCTGATGACATAAACTGGTCAGTTACGCTAGATGTATTGCGCGAATTGTCAGAAGTTGGAATCCATGACCTACCACCACCCATTGGATCAGGTCCCAGTGGTCTTGTAGGTGAAAACTGCCAGGGTTCGAACCCTGGTGGGGCATAGTTACTGTTAAATAATAAATAAATAAGTACACACATATATTTTATAATCGTCTCACCTGAATTCTCTCTATGATAAGATTATTTATTGGATCAATAGATATGGTTAGACGTTCACATGATTGTTCTAAACATTCTGTCAGCATAGTTTTACAACTGAAAATTTCGCTTTCACTACACAATGGTGACGACGACGATGATGATGATGATGTTAAGCGATGATTAAGACAGGTGAAAATTTTCTCTTTTAATTCTAAATGAATATAATCAACTAATCGATAGGAATCAACTAGTAAAAAGATGAATTGCTCAGGAAAACATTCAGTAGCTGATGATGATGGTTTTGTTTGTAGTAATGATGTAGACGAATTGATGGATGTATCCGGTGATAATTGAGAAGAAGAAGAATTGGGGGTGGAGTTCTAAAGAGCAAAAAAATGAAAGTTTTTCATAATACCTCATCAATTAAAAAAAGAATGAAACAAATAAGTGAATTTCAATGTGGATTTCTTTACACATCCAATTAAAGAAGCATTGAAGACTAGGGAGTAATAAGCCCGTCAAATGTAAGACGTTGTTACAGGATTGGACTGCATTGACTCCTAGCTTACAGACAGGGAGTGAATTGGTGACTGAGAGAGTGTTGACCACTTCACTGATTTGGGGAGTTGCAACAGCTAAAGCCAGCGGGTTGATCGCTGACGAAATCTCAACACGGATACAGAAGGCTGATGTTTTAGCATTTTCCAACTGACGCCATCTCTGACTTAGTAGACGTGATATCCCGTTGGCTATCAATCGAAGGACGTGTATACTGTTCAGCAGTTCGCTCTGTTTTCCTTTATGATTGTCAGTGAGATATGGCCATTGAGAGTGGAGGATAGGAAAAGGACGGCTAGCTGTCTTTGATCACAGGCGTCTGCGTTCTATTTCTCATGTTGGATGGTGGTATAATGAGGTGAACAGTATTGAGGTTAGGCTTCGATCGAGTGCTGAGTAGGGAGGAGAATTCAATCGACGAGATTGTGAAGTTACATCGATTGAGATGGTTAGGATATGTGTTACGTATGCCTAACCATCGCTTTCCTCGAACAATGGATAATGTTAGCTGACATAATAGCAACGATCAGGTTGGAAAAGAGCCAGTGGTGGTCAAGCCAAAAAATGGCCTCATCAGTCAATGGAATCCATAGCAGTTAGTTTAACCCAGTCAGCCACGTAGGGTGGTATAAGTTTCCTGACTGGTTGGCGTCCTCGGAATGGTAAATACCAGTGGCTGAAGACAATTGGTAATATGGCTCAAAATCGTCTCTATTTTAATTCTCTTTCTACTCTTTCCTCTTGCTTTGTGTGCTACATGGAGTGTGGCAACTCGAACTGGTGTACATATGTGCAAAGTTGTACGTTGAAACCAGCCAGGGAGCAATAGACAACTGCTTCTCACATCCTAGTTTAGGATTCTTGAGCAGTGACCATATCCACGATCCAAAAATGGATCGAACCCAAGAACTTCAGGTTACAAGGTCAAATTCTCTGACCATTCAGCCAGCTGAGTTGGAATTCAATAACTTCTGAGTCCTGACTTTGTCAACTCCTGATATAGCACACTTTCCTCAGCGCTACGCTAGTGCTGAATGGTGAACAAGCTTGGTCACTTAGTCTGAAGGTCCTGGATCCAATCCCTGGTAGGGTATTGAATGGGTACTGATAAACAGGCACAAAACCAGGAAGAAATAGCTCTACCTTAAATCGATGCCTTCGATTAGTATCCATTTCACCTTGATAATATGGTGGACCCCTCCCCCACGCCCCACTAGTCACAACTTCTCAGTACAGCTGATGTTGGTTTCTGACGAAATCTAACAGCTGAAATCAATTTTTGAGAGTTGATTTGTTTTTCGAGTTTCCTGCAGTTCTAGTGAGAAATCGTGAGGTGCACCCAATCTGGAGTGAGTATAGATTCCCGCTGATGACATTGGCTCCTGGTCGCGCTAAAATCACGAATCGGTAAAAGTTAGAATTCATGAACTGGCCATTGAATTGGGTCCCAGTGGGTGCATACTGCCGATGAATCCCAAACTGGGGTGAAACAGCCATCCAGTACTTCCTGCAGGTTTTCAACGGTTCTCTAACTGAAATCAATTGAAATTAATCTAAATCCCTACAAAACCACATAATCTGAATATATTAATGTTTTAAATATTAATGGGAAATATCATATCCATTTCATTCTATCACTCCGTTAAGTGGTTACATAACACATTGTTCTGTTTCCATTCCTTTGCATTCAGAGTGGAAGATGTGGATTTAGGCTTTCAAGTTTTGTTACTGGACAGGGTTGCTGGCCCCCCGCCACCAACATACACACACATACGCTTTCAACCCTCTCTGTTTTCCAGGCTTCCTAACAGAAAGATGAAGTTTTGGAGTGTACCAATAGTGAATCGAACCCGGACCTACCAGGCGACTGTTTATCCAAAAAAGGAGAAGTAATAATATTATTATTATTCCATTGGGTTCCATGTAGAACATAGGGCTTCAACAGAATATCTTTATCACATACTGTCCGTCTTCTCTTCTTATATTATTTTTTCCTTTAATTCCTAGGGGAACATAGGGCTTCAGCCGCGCGTCTCCATTGCGTTCGGTTCTCTTCTCTATGCTCAGTTGAAATTTGTCCTGCCAGCTTCTTCAGCCAGTTTGTTGGTTTTCGCTTGTAAATCTTCGAGTTCATATGACATAAGACATACATCATCATCATCGAAATCTTTTGATCTTCTAGAGTCTTCTCAACGGTGGGCCAGCGCACTCCTATCTCCTTGCATAAGCCAGTCCACCACAGTTAAGAATATCACATCGGTGATTATTGACAGCCTTCCTCTTACTCATGTGTTCACTTCAAACGACTGCCTGAGTTTCCCGTTGTGGATTATTTGGTATCAGATGACTGGACAAAATCTACAAGAAAGCGTGGACTAAGTTTTCCCACCTGTTGAAAAGAGTCGTCAGTAAGATCTATGTCTATAACCTTGAAAGAGATGATGATGATGGTGTTCCCCTCGAAGAAACATCTCCGTATCACACTCAGTACGGATGTTTGAAACCATAGGAGAGCTGGTTTCAAGTCTTAGTGTGAATATCATCCCTCACCACTGGGGTGGGGGAGGGGGATGTAGGTACATCCAGATGACGAGTCTGAAAAAGGACGAAACGAGAGTACTGAATTTCACTCTATTAGGCGACATTAATCGAAATAACAATTTAACTCAACACCTACCTATCTACCTACCTACCTCATTCTCAGATTTAATTTGTTCATCAATAAAACTTGAATAACGACTTATTATTTGTAGAGTTAATTTCCAAAATCTATGCATTAATTTATCCACATAGATTCCTTTCTGCCAACAACGATCAATTTGACCAATGACAGTTTCAGTTACATCAAGTAAACATGCTAGAAATATATCAAAAAAAAAATAGACAAGAAATAAAGATAGAAAGTAGAGAAATCAAAGCAACATTATGTTACATAGCGATAAAATGCAGAATCTTTTGAACACACCTTGATGACAAGAAGCACTGATATGTGTGACAGGTGATTCACTCCCTTTGTCAAATACAAGTAAGATAATGCTGCAAGACTAAAGAGGGGGGGCGGCTATAACTAACTTGGAGATATGAAGCGGGTGAAGTGGTGGAACATGTTCACAACTTTATTTACTTATTTGGAAAGTTGAATCAACCCTAATAGACTAATTCATGGCGGAAATTTCAGCACCGACACACAAAGGGCTTGTGTGACATTGGCCAACACTTACATAGTCTCTGGCATAGACGTGATATCTAGCTATCCCCACCACCAAGGGATATGTGTACTACACACCAGTTCGCTTTGTCCTCCTCCCTTTATAGCTGTGAGATATGACCGCTAAAAGTGAGAAAAAAGGCTAGCTGTGTTTTGACCACAGATGTTTGCATTCTGTCATCTAATGTGCTAAGTGGTAATAATATGGTGAGTAGTGTTGAGGTTGTGCGTCGGTAGCACAGCGGTTAGGACGCTCGCCGACCATGCACATGGTTCGAGGTTCGATTCCCAGCCACAGACGCACTCTTTACCTCGCTAAGCCAGAAGACAAATGCTAGTAAAGAGGAAAGGTTGGGCATGAGGCTAGGAAACCCATCCTGTAAAAATAATCACCACTGCTACAGAAACTTCAAGCCAGTGGCTTGAAGCCCTATGCTCCACTGGGAACGTGAAGGAAAAATTATTATTAGTATTGAGGTTAGGCGTAGTACACCTTTAGCCGAGGAGGGTAAATCGATCGATGAGGTTGTGAAGGTGAAGAGATGGCTAGAAATCGTGTTAAATCTTCCTCGACGGGCAATGTTAAGTTAGAAAAAAAGAGTTAGAGCTAGTCAAACCGAGACCTGGAATCCGTCCATGTAGTCGTTGACAGTTGATTGGAGCTGTGAATGGAGGCGTAGAATGTTTTCAGTTGGCATCGTCCAGGTGCTAGAAATCAATGACTAGAGACTATAAGAAATATGACTGAATCATTAACAATGGTGCAGATGCATTCACTCACTCATTCAAGTGACTATTATCAAATTCTACAAACTTTTAGCAACAGATAGCCGACTAGAACGTGTAAGCAACTGTAACAACAGAAGACAAGGGCCAGGCAACAGATCGTTTTATTATGAAAATCAACCCGTATTTATACATCTTTCAACTACATTATTATAGACAAGCGCAGTCATCTGATTGGTTGTTTAGGTAGACAAACGCAGGCTTCTGATTGGTTGTTTCGGGATTCCTTGACAAATAGAGTTCTCTCTGCGAATCATATTTTGCCACGTTAACTTGGCTGTGATTGGTTGTTGACTCAGGCTTGTTCACGGCCCATATTAGTGACCTAGACCTTAACGTAGATTAGTGCCAACCAATCGGCTAGCAGCCTGCTCTCACCACACTCGTCCCCCCGTCAAATACGTGCGACTGAATTCGGCTTGATCCACTTGGTGCAGGCGTCATCGTTGGCTTGTCTCGCTTTATCCATTTCTGGAGCTCGCTGACGTTCACGCGCCTCTCATTGTTCGCCATTGCGACTGTGTCTGCGTAACCCCATCTCGAAGTGACCATATATGGTCCTTCCCACTTTGGAAACTGTTTGCCTGACCCTGTCGAACATTCGTCCATACTTCGGCCCACACCTTCATATGCTGCTTTCGCCCGACCTCCCAGCAGCGTCTCAAGTAGCAGCTCCATCGCTGACAGATCTTGAACGCCACTCAACTGCGCAGAAGCCTTGAAGTCCTGCCCGAAGATCCATATGTCTCCATCAAAAACTGCAGGGTATAGGCTTTTCATTTGTCGGTAGGCAGCGACACCAAATGTAACAACAGAAGACAAGGGCCAGGCAACAGATCGTTTTATTATGAAAATCAACCCGTATTTATACATCTTTCAACTACATTATTATAGACAAGCGCAGTCATCTGATTGGTTGTTTAGGTAGACAAACGCAGGCTTCTGATTGGTTGTTTCGGGATTCCTTGACAAATAGAGTTCTCTCTGCGAATCATATTTTGCCACGTTAACTTGGCTGTGATTGGTTGTTGACTCAGGCTTGTTCACGGCCCATATTAGTGACCTAGACCTTAACGTAGATTAGTGCCAACCAATCGGCTAGCAGCCTGCTCTCACCACACAACAAGCAAATCTAGTAACGCAACCAATAATCGTGAATCTATTGTCTAACAAGTATATGCCAAAAGAAAAAAGAAGATGGATCGGACATATGCTGAGGAGACCGTTGAGCGGTATTGCACGCACGACAAGTCATTTCTCGAATAGAAAACAAAAAAGTTGGGCGACAGTAAAACAGTGACACGGAGGAGATCGTGTGTGTGTAAGGTGGTGAAGATGAAAGCTTATGGGCAATCGTGAAGACAATTAAAACAAAAGACTACACACACATACATAGAACAGAGTGAAATGAAGATGAAGCGTTGAAGACCTACTGTTCTACTCGGAACCGAAAGGGATAATAATAATAATAATAAATATATAGAGCTTGTAAGATCTACCATATTTTTTAAAAAAAAGTAAGCAAATGAACTACAAAACTTACATCTTTCACTACTTTTTATTTCTTTTAAACCATTTTTCATAATATTTTCAACATTTGCAGCTATTTCCTGAAATCTTGAAAAAAGGAAAAAGAAAGTATAGGAACTCAACGATACCATATTTGGCCAGCCCGTGTTCTAAGTGACAGAGACAAGACAATGTTAAGCGCGAACGAAACCTATCACTTGCTTTGTTGTTAATAACACAATTTTGGCCCTTGTTATTTCCCCCTTATACTCTCTTATTTGTACTCTATAGTGAATAACCTTCTTAAACATACTTAGCTACTTAAAATTATTATCATTGGCTTACTTTTTTGTTCTTTATTCTATTCCTCCTTTTGTGTATCTACTAGTCCCGACTATATTAGCACTATGAGTATTACAAAATTGTCCTGTCATTAACCATCATGTAATATTAGTTTTGTGATTGTTTTTTTGTTCGGCAATATTAAAACTGACAATCTTGGTTGTGAATGCCATTATTACCATCTTAAAATATTGTAGTATGCAGGATTACTCACACTACCACTACAAACACCGCATTAGAGCTGACAAAAAAACACCCTGAAATGTTTATTTTATGATTGTTTAGTGTTGCTTAATCAAATTAACTGATCATCTTGGCGATAAACATTCTTCTTGTATGAGATAGTTTTTGTTCACCACGCATAAACATATCATAGCTTCCAATACCCTATACTGAGATATTATTTATGTTGTTTATAATCCTTTCTACTTCTTGGCATTTTTTTTCACATTTTTTTGTTGCTAATTTTTGTGCTTTTTGTTTTTGTTGTCTTTATATTTATTTTTTGTAATACTCCTATTAAATGTGCGATGAAATTAGGTACAATATTGTAGATATGTGCTGTGCACACTGTATCACTAGCACTGTTTCTGGAATAAAGCAAATTATTATTATTATTAAAACCAGACAAAATTTATGAATTATCAATTTACCATTTGTGTATATTTTAAAACGAATTTCGAATAAAATACTCTATGGATAGATAATTACATCATCATATGAAGTAAAATGTGAACAACTTAAAGAGGATTTTAAATTTTAGTTTTTTATCGCTTTACATTCCCCAGTGGAACACAAAGGGCTCCAAGCTAAGGGTTTGAAGTTTCGGTAACAGTGGTGTTTACTTTTTAAGAGATGCGGTTGCCAGCCCCTCATGCCCAATGAATATCAATTCATTATTTATTTATTGATTCATTCAACACAGCCATATTATAATGATAATGTCACATATCAAGTGATTCACAACGGTAAAACTCAGCGTAGAGAAGCTGTTGAAATGAAGACAAGTGGGAGAAGAGGTTGTCTATTATCACCGAAGATGATATATACGACTACAATTCATGGGCGATATACCAAGCGAAATAATTGCGAAGAAATTAAGGAAATCAGTTCAAAGAACTTTTAATGTTGGCCAACTACACGTATTATTCTCTACACGACCGATAATGATTCCTCTATTAAAAGATGAAGTACCTAGACCAGCTGGCCACTTTAAATTGTATCTACCAACTCAACTGCGCTTGTGGTGGAGCCAGTTATATTGGCTGTTGCTTTAGGAACTTAATTTTTCGTGCTGGCTGGGGAACACCTCCCAGTATGGCTAAATAAAGGTGTAGTGAAAACCATTAACAGTTCGATATTGAACCATCTGGTGCAAACGGGCCACAAAGCCAGCCAGTGTGGAAGAATCCTTCTCTATATTATACCGGGTGCCAAATAAACTGCCAAAAACATTGAAGCACCACAGGCTCCAAACAGCAGAGGCTATTGCGATTCGCCTCAAACAACCAGCGCTCTGTATCCAAAAGAAGCCAGTCCAGCCCCTACTATCGCCCTGGCTTTCAGTAGAAACCATAAACTCATGAATTTGTAATATTATCCTTCCTAATTCTTCTGATATTCAGCTTATTTTATGTTGATGCTACTGAACTGTAATGTCGTTCATAACACTAACTCATTCATTCATTCACTATAATATATATATATATATATATATATATATAGAGAGAGAGAGAGAGAGACTGGTGATGAATTTATCGAAAAGAATACTTTTTGTTCAGTATCCATTCTTTTGAAAATTTTAATGGGCATTTCTAATCAATTGAAGATGATATCCCTGATTGTGATCGACTGAATCATAAAATACAGCGTGAATGGGAGCAAGAAGATAGGAATACGTTGAATCGACAATAAGACTCTGGGAAATTTGTAGTCCTGTCATTTAGACTCATCTTTACTTTGATTGGATACTAGTTAGTAACTAGTGTAATGTGTGTGCGTCTAGTCCTTTGTTTGGTGTTTGGACCAAATTCTATCCGTCAAGTTTGCAATGCGTGGTCACCATGTCACTAGGTGGCTCGTTATATCACGGTGTACTGTACTGTACTGTGAATCATTGATAATCGATAGTTGAAGGCAATCGATAGGAAGCTACACCTTATCTAGGTCTTGTGTTAGTTGGCACTCACCAGTCAGTCAGTCAGTCAGCAAGGCAAGCGTATCTGCAAGCTTAAAGGGAACTCATGTCCTTTCTGTGATTCTAACCTATATCACCCAGTGCCGCCTGCAGTCAAAGAGAGAGAGGGAGAGAGAAGTTATCCCTAAGCTATTCGGACTCATCTAGAACATTTGGACTTTTGTCTAATATCACACAAATTCAAAGATCTGCAAATAAAAATCAATAGGTTGGGAGAAGAGGCTGGCGGCAGGCAGTAAAGACAGCGTTACAAATGAACATAGAGAAGATACAGGTGACGAAGATACCTACCGACCACCACCACAACCTACAGCAAAAACAAGCACCAATCACTATCAAGGCGAGAAATTTGAAGGAGGTCACTTCTTTCACCTATCTAAGGCAGCATCGTTTCAACTGCAAGCGACATCGATAAAGGTGTAAAAGCCAGTCAATATCAAAAAAGGCAAGACGGACATTCATTACTCTGAAACCAAGAAGTAGTTACCCAAAAGATATGCAGTAGGAAATAGAGATGAAGAGACCTGTTGTTGACTGACATCGAACGTTGGGCTATCTCTCTCTCCACTGGTGCCGAAATGGGAAACAACGAGTTTGGAATGAGTCTAAGTTTGACATAGACGAGATTGTTTAAGGCGGTAGAGATGACAGTCTACCGAAAATTGTGGAACCAGCTAAATACAACTGCAGAGAACAGGATAAAATAAAGATGTTCAGTTGAAGCCATATGTCCCACTTGGAACCCAGGGGAATAACACACACGTACATTCAAACATGCAAACAAGCCAATGATGAGAAATTAATTGAAAAGGAATGCATTTCTCCACTCAATTGATAGTTTTTGCCTAAACTTTGTTTAAACGACAACAACTAAAAAAGCAAGACAGAAAATAAAGTGTATAAAAATTATCAGGTAAGTTAGTTAGTCAGTCAGACAGTCAATCACTTTTCAAGGTTGTCTGAATTCTCTTTTTATAACCTCTCCTACTAGTTGTTGTTTTTGATTGTCATAAAACCGCTTCCTGTTATTTGTACCGTGAAATGATTATTTAGCAAAAAAAAAACAAATACCATAATGATATGAGAAACTTAAAAACGACAACGAGAATAACAACACCACGTATATAAGTTGTTAAGATTCTTATCTAAAATAATCATTGAGTATTTATTGCCTTAATAAATAGCGTAATTTTATTGGCAATAATAATAAATTCTTCAATCAGTTATTATTATTTTTATTGTTTTACTGTTCTAAAATGTTTGAAAAAATTATGTGCGGGTTATTTGGAGAAGAAGTGGTTACATTTTATGCAAGCAGAGCTTTGTTATTGTTTATGTTACCCCCCCCCCTATAGGACCAATAAATCGATTTTTAAAAAAATAACTCCGCCCCCTTCATTCATACTTATGAATTATCATTCCAAATCTAGAATAATAATGAAAATTAAATTGGTTAGTTTTGATATAAGCTTAGTCTGTCTTCTTTATGCTAACAACATATACCAACAATCAATATGGCTTTGAAGGCAGTTAGAAAAGAATTGACTGTTGATCCCAGAACTTACCCATAAGACAAAGCCACGCCCCCTCCCCCCTTCGCCACTATTGAGCGAAACTAGTTTAGGAATTCAATTATGTGTGTCTTACATCTTCCAATTCGAAAAACAGAAGAGGTAAACAATGGGATCACCAATATCCTCTATCGTAGCGGACATCTTGGGAAAAAAATTGCTCTTAATACATTTATTTAATCTTACTGTAAATATATGGTGGAGATATGTGGATGATACTTTCAAAGTGTTAAAAACACAACATATCTCTGGCTTCTTGATAGATATAAACTCACTCACTTGTAAAGCGAATAAAATGAGTGGTATACGAGCTAGCTTGCTTTGTAGCCGGAAGGTCCTGGGTTCGAACCCTGGCAATGGGTGCGTACTGCCGATGATTCCCAAACTAGAATGAAACAGCAGCTGTCCAGTACTCCCTCGTTTTCAATGGTTCTTTAACTGGTATCAATTCGTAATCAGTTCGTAAAAAATAAAACTCACATTTGAATCGGAAAATGAACAAGGAGAACTAATTGTGATGTTAGATTCTAATATATATTTATGCGTTGAAGTTTCTGTAGCAATTTGGTTAAGCTTTGGGGGTGTGGAGTCGCTAGCATCACGCCCCAACCCTCCCTCTTTATCCGGGCTTGGGACTGGCTAGAAAACTAGCGAGCTAGTAGTCTAGGCGAGGTCAAATCGAGAAGGCGAGAAACACATTCATCAACCTGAAACAACCAATCTGGAAATCTTCGTCACTCAGCCAACATCAACAACAAAATCCAGTCGGATTTTCAATACAAACAACGTCAAGTCAGTCAGTTCTCCTATACGGATCAGAAACTTGGAGGGCGGGTCACAAAGAATATTTCCAACAGGCTATTGCAGACCAGACCTTTATCAACAACTGTCTTCGCTAGCTCTATACTGAAGATCAGATGGCCGGGTCAGAAAGAATCACCAACAAGAAACTATGGAAACAAACAAAACAAGAACCAATCGCTAGCCAACAAATATGCAGGAGAAAGTGGATGGAGATGGATTGGACGCTCGTTGAGGAGGTCGCTGGGTGACATAGCGCGCGCGTCAGGCCATTTCTCGAGTGGAACCAGGCCGAAAGGGAAGCGGCGAGTGGGACGTCAGTGCAAGGGTGACATGAAGGAGATCGTGTGAAGAGGAGTTGAAAGAGTATGGACTAACATGGATTCAGGTGAAAAGTACAGCAGAAGACAGAAGTGGCAAGTGGAGACGTGCAGTTGAAGCCCTATGTTCCACTAGGAACCCAAGGTAACAATAATAATATTAATAATAATAATTAGATTGCAAAGTCAAACGAAGGGAAGAAGGTGAACTACACACTAGCATTTGTAAAAAAACCAATGCATCCTGCTGATAGATATTTCGACTTTGATTCATCTCATCTGTCTTCTGTAAAGGCAGGCTTAGTTAAGTGTCTAACAAACCGAGCAACAACATCACTAAGTAGTACAACAAAAAACTTAAACGATGAAATGAAACAGAATAGAAGAAGAATAAGACTTGACGCGTTAAATACCTATCTCAGAAAATTCATTAAAACGATCTCAAAAGCTCATAAGAAAAGTAAACATCAGTAGTGAAAGTATCAACGATAACATGAATAATAAGGATGAACTTAGGGCATCTACAGTTTTACTATATATAAGGGAGGAGGACATCTGAAACCCTACCTACGTGGAAGAAATATTAGTAAGGCAGGAATCAGTATTTTTGAGGCCAACAAACTCATTCAGGGACAAGCTAAGTAGGCTAAAAGACCCCACTGACCACCTAGATAGACAAAATACTTTACAATGACTGTGAGGTCAACTAGATAGGTCAAACCAGTAGATCTGATGTATTCAGATTATTGGGACATAAAAATTTAACTAAATGTAGCGTGGTTGACCCCATGAAGATGAGTAATTTATAAAACAAAGGATTTGGTAATTGCAATGCATGCATTAACACACACACACAACAGGGTGAGACAGTTACATTTCTAAAGAGTAATCTAGGTAGGTGGAGAGAGCGGTTGATTATTGAATCTTTGTTCATCTAATTTAAAACACCTAAAACGTACAATAGGAATGACTCATCACCAATACCAGAGAGAAGAAAAATATTACTACCAATCAAATCAAGGAATAGGAAATAATGGAAATATATGAAGGAAGTTGGAAAGGGGTTAGGTGAATGCCTTGATATGATTATGAGCAATAAATTTTACTCGAAATGTCAACAGTAAATAATACTGTATCACTACTCAGTGTGATTTTATCGAATAAATATACTCTATGATGGAACTATACTCTACCACAGTGCCCAGGGCACTTCGAACTAACTACAGACCTTCATCAATAGCTGTCTTCGCTCAATACTCAAGTTCAGATGGCCGGCCAGAAAAGATCAACAATAGTGAATGATCTCGGGGAGCGAACCAACCCAGCAGCAGCTGATTGTGCAACAAATATGCAGGAAGATATAGCCATCACGCGCCAGGCTATCGATCGAGTGGAACCCGAACGGGAAGCGGTGAGTTAGTTGTGGGCTGGCATGGAAGAGGTCATGTGAAGAGGAGATGAAAGCATGTGGGAAGACATGGAGCCAGGTGAAAACGCTGGTGGAGGACCGAATGCAATGGAGACGTGCGGCTGAAGCCCTATGTTCCCCTGGGAATTAAAGGAAATAATAATACAGTGCCCAGAATTTATTCGTATATCAAGTTATGTATGACCGTTTCATCCTATTGGGCACATCTTACTAAGAGAAAAAGTATCTAAAAAGAAGTCTCCGCGTTTTGATGGCTACCAGATGGATGTCCTGAGGTTGTACCGAGAAGTCGTGACCAATAGGGTCCCCATGTCAGGATGAAATCGATTCTCATAGAAGGCATAGGCATCTGGGAGTAGGACTATATCACGAATTGAGAAAAATTCTAGTTTACAGGTTATTGAATTCCAGTCCAAGTGAGTGAAACGCCAACAAGATCGAAAAACCTCGTAACTTGAAGGTCTCAGCTTCGATCTCTGATTGAGTCGTGAGTAAGCAGTTAGTAAATTCACTGGTCTTTTGATATTTTATTTTTAATGCAAATTTCATCAGAAACCAACACCAGTTACAGATCATTGGAAAACAGGGAGCACTAGATAGCTGTTTCGTCGAAGTTTCAGACTCTTCAGCAGTGTGCACAGGACCTTCAGATTGAAGGATGAGCTTGTAGACTATTCAATCACTGGGACGGAATCTAACAGTCAATTCATGAATCCCAACTGCTGCCAGTTCGTGATATATACATATATATATTTCATTGCTAGCCCATGTCATTGGCAAAGTATTTGTCGCTATAACCAACTTGGTGAACCCTACTGGTCACAACTTTTCACTGGAATTTTATGACTGTAGTCAGCCAGTCAGTCAGTCAATAGTGAGCACTAGACTAGTTTTCAATCTTGAAATCAATCAGGTCTCTGTAAATCAGTACTTTGAATATTAGTCTGAGCTATGTGGGAAGGAGAAAGCTACCTGAATATTGTTTTAAGAATTGCAGTGATATATTGCTCATAACTGTTTACAATGATACACATGTATATTTATAGCTTATTATTTCCCAGATTTTGAGCATTTTCACTAATCTTTTAAGGAGATTATTACCTCTTCTCACAAGCATGTCCTATAGTCCTATTTAGACTATTTTCTCCTCTGTATTATGCTCTGTAGTAATAACAGTGTAAACTTGCTAGTCAAATTATTTATTTATTTACAAATGCCATTCGATCCGTTCGGATTCTGGTGTCCATGTTTAGCCCATATGTTTGGAACTTTGGTAAGCTATGCAGAAGAATGCATTTGATTGGTTTCTTTGAATGCAGACCGAAATACTCCGGTTCTGATGATTCATTTGTTTCATCCTAGTTTGCCAAATGTTAAACACCGTGCACCTATGACGCCACCCAGGACTTTTGGGTTATGAGGCGAGCCTGTAGACCATTCAGGCAATAAATTATGATTTAATGACCTGTGAATTCTAGTTTTTTATTAACCGACAGTGATAAATCAAACAGTTTTGGGTCTTATTATCGACTGATCATTGTCACAGTTTGAAAAATTATTCACACAGAATCTTAATACAACCATTATAAAATACACATATCAATAGACTAAAGATAATTCCGATCCGTTGTGAACAGGTTTTTACAACTAACATAACTTTTACAGGACTTCTCATCATGAGGTGGTGACATTAGTTAGAGAACCATTGAAAAACTCACCTGGGAGTACTGGACAGCTGTTTCGTCCTAGTTTGGGACTCTTCATCAGTACGCACTCACCCACAGGGTCGAACCCAGGACCTTCTGGTTACAACGTGAGCTCGTATACCATTAAGCCACTGGGACCCGATCCAATCACCCACGAATTTTAACTTCTGTCAATTCACGACATAGCGCGACCGAAGCAAATGTCTTCGGCGAGTATTTGTCCTCACACCCGACCTGCTGCATCCTACTGGTCACGACTTCTCACTAGAACCCCAGGTAACTCTATCTACCTGAATAGGGCAAGTCGCTAGTAAGCCTCTCATTGATATTCAAGTGTTGGTTTGTACTGTTGAAGAGTACCAAACTAGGACGAAACAGCTGTCCACTACTCCCACGTGGGTTTTCCAATGGTTCTCTAACTAATGTCAGCTCATGATGAAAAATCCTGTAACCAATCAAATCCCTACAAACCAATATTTGAATAACATAAGTTTTGTTGTAACCTATCCACAAAACAAATACCAATTATTTATACACACTTCTGAAGATGATTGTGTCATCAGAAATGTAGAATAAGCAAATATATTCTAAATACTGGACAGCTATTTGTCCTAGCTTGGGACTCATCATCATCAGCACCCACCCACCACTAGGGCTCAAACCCCGGTTACATGGTAAGGTCATTGACCATTTTGGGCATTGCGATCCAATTCAGTGGCTTATGAGTTCCCACTTCCACTAATTCGTGATTTTAGCGAGACCAGCTGTGGTGAGAGCTGTTTGCTAGCCAAAATTGTAAACACCAATTTACGTCAATATTTACGTCCCGAATCAGGGTTATGAGGAAAACCAAGAACAAAGACTAACTCAACAATCAACCACAACAGACTTAGCGTGTGCAAATACAATTCGCAGATATATGGTCTGATCTTCAAAGAAGCGGTCACAAAGAGATGACAGAATAACTTTCAGCGAGAAAACAACCAATCAGATGACACTGTTTCTCTGCTAATAGTAGTGAATAATAATATACATAAAAATCTATAAACATCTGTTGATTTCCTCAATAAATGAGCTGTTGCTGGCCCCTTGTCTTTTGTCGTTCGTTACACAGCAGCCGATGTCATCTGGGTCCTCGGCGAGTATTTCCGAGGACCCAGAAGACCCTAGATTCGAATGTCGGTAGGTGCGCATTGCTGATGAGTCCGAAACTAGGACAAAACAGATAGCTATTCAGCATACTCTCTGGTTTTCAATAACTTCCTAACTGACATCAATCCGTGGGCAAATTTGAAACAAATCGAATCCTTATAAACTATAACTCTTGAAAAAATATTCGAAAAGACAAAAAAACAAGCATCACACAATTTTTAAAGACTATTTCTTACCTTATTTGAAAGTAAACAGGTAAACTCCATTTATTAATGAACGTTGAATATGATGCATGATTACGTAATGCATTAAGTTGTTTATGCGACCAAGTCTTGGCTTCTACTGATTCAACAAAATGCATACTTACAGAATACAGCTACAAATTGAATACACAAAGAAAGAAAAAGAAATCAACGCAAATAAAACTACTATTATTAGAATTAAATAAATTCCTAGAATCAGTCATAAAAAAAGAAAAACGATGGATAAACACAACGAACTAGTAGTTTTTTTTTATTCCTTTGCGTTCGGAGTGGAATAGAGGAGTTCAAGCTTCAGCTATGATTTTATTTTTACGAGGTGGGGCGGGGCGGGGGGTCATTAACCTCACGCTCAACTTCCTTTCTTTACCAGGCGGCTTACCACAGGTCAACCAAGGTTTAAGAGTGCGTGGTCATCATCCGGGGATCGAACCCCAGACCATGTGGGTGGTTGACAAGCACTCTTCTGCCTGCACTACTAACGCCAAGAATGCTTGTAGCTACCTTGAGGATTGTCTGAATATTCGTTTTGGCGGTACATTTACTAAACCTAGAACGGTACAAAGAAGATTACCATGACTCTGAGCAAGGATGACACGTAAAGTCATGAAGGGTTGTATATCTTTTCGGTCCACCGGTGGAGAGGGCTCCCAAATGGTTGAGCTACATGATGAAACTACGTGCATGTTGCTCGATAGACGGGAACCAGATTAGCTGCAGGATATGCTCTGTCTAGTGAGGTCCTCAATCTTCTGTTGACAACTGCTGTAATATTTATACCTTTTTTATTATATATATTATATTTACACCTTTATAATCAAGTTGAATATACATGGTCTTTTTTACCACTGTAGAGTTTTGACTAGTCTTCGCTTAAAGCTCTTTGGAGAAAAACTATTTAAAATGTGGGTGTTGTCTTTTCCATGTAGGCTTTCGGTAAATTGACTTCTGGAGACTACCATGTTCTAGGCGTTGCATGGCAACATCGAGGAATTAGAACTTTCCATCATATTCATATTCCATAGTAAATTCAATATTGGGGTATGTGGGTGTCAATGGCCAGTGTTCTGTGTGATAGAGACAGTGTTAAGCATAGAACCTATGACTTACTACGTTATTACCAAATTGACTGGCTCTTTTTTTCCTCATCTAATTGTAATCTATGCAGACACTGATAAGTTTAGCTATTAAATGTTATCGTTATTTTACATTTTTTGTGTATATTTAACTTCATTGTCACAATTAGTACCAAAAAGCTGCTATTATCAGTCCTGTAATATCATTATTATTCTTTTTTTAATTTTTGTTTTTTTCTATTATCGAGTAAATTAGATGCAATAGTGTATTGAATGCTGAGATTTCCACACTGTATTTTTATCTGCTGTTTTTGGAATACGACAGAAAATTATTTTATTAAAGGCGACAGGTAGTCTGGGATGGTTCGATACTAGAAATTTTTCAGTGTGTAAGTGTAACTCGATAATTTCCATTTGTTGTTCTTCAAGGAATCATCTGTTCAACTTTGATGAATCTAGCATGCCTATCGCCGCCGTTGTTATATTTTCTTTAAATGATTCAATTGATAATCAATCTCTTGATATTGTAAGACCACAGTGATCAATACGGATCAAGAGACACAGAGAGAGAGAGAAGGCACACAATGAGAGACAGAGATACCAACCAACCTTAAGCAAAAACAGTCACAGCAACCACAACAACAAAATGCAGGAGAATACACTTACTGAATAAAATCTGTCTGGATGACCAGGAGAAAATATTTCTGGTAAATTTTCACAAATTAAATCAATTGTTTCTGGCCAAAATCCTTCGACTAAACAGTCGAAATCACAAAGAGGTTCAGAACTATAATTGAAAATAATAATAACGACAATAACAATAACATTGGTGACACGAAACACGTAGATAAAAGAGAACTTTCTATAAAAATAAACAACATAATTTTCGAGTATTACTTTACTAGGATTTAAAAAGTTATTCTGATGCACACTAACAACAAGCCCTATCCAAGAAGGCTAACTGGAGTTCTAGTGAGAAGTCGTGACCAGAGGGATTTACCAAGTTAAGTAAGACAACAGCTACTCGCTGATGATATGCGGCTGGCGATTGCACTATGTATCGCGAATTGTTAGAAACTGGAGTTCATGCGCTGGGAGCCTTTAGATCGGGTCCCAATGGCTGAATGGTCTACGAGCTTGCCTTTTGTCCGTAATGTTCTGAATTCGAACCCTGACTGTGGATTTGTGCTAGTGAAGATTCCGAAAGTAGGATGATACTCTATGGTTTTCCGATGAATCTCTAACCAATGTCAGCTGGTGATCAAACCTAAAGACATATTAGACATTTTCAGCTTGTTTATTTGTTGTTTTCTTTAACCGCGTTGATTTAATTACTTTCGTTTTCGTTATTTATCATGCATTTACTTTGAGATTGCAGATACATCTGCCTGACGACTGCTTCCAGTCATTTTATGTCAGACGATCACTGGGTAAATGTACAAATTAAAATGCTGCAGACATTAAAATTATTTTCTTTGCTTTCCGAGTAAAACATAGGGTTTTAAGCTTTAACTTTCATGTTTTAGCACCAGTGATGCTATTCCCCTTTACGCGGTGAAGTTGCTAGCCTTACGCCCAACCTCCCCTCTTTACTGGGCCTACTATTGGCTAAGCGAGGTCTAGGAGTGAGTCGACCGTAGACTGAGCCCAGAACACCTTCGAGGTCGGTGAGGGTATTTTTTTGCATAAGTACTTTACCATCAATATACTGAATATCAGATATCTATGGTAAGTACATCTGTTATTATGGTCTTTTTAGGTCACTCACTCACTCACTCACTCACTCACTCACTCACTCACTCACTCACTCACTCACTCACTCACTCACTCACTCACTCACTCACTCACTCACTCACTCACTCACTCACTCACTCACTCACTCACTCACTCACTCACTCACTCACTCACTCACTCACTCACTCACTCACTCACTCACTCACTCACTCACTCACTCACTCACTCACTCACTCACTCACTCACTCACTCACTCACTCACTCACTCACTCACTCACTCACTCACTCACTCACTCACTCACTCACTCACTCACTCACTCACTCACTCACTCACTCACTCACTCACTCACTCACTCACTCACTCACTCACTCACTCACTCACTCACTCACTCACTCACTCACTCACTCACTCACTCACTCACTCACTCACTCACTCACTCACTGCATTTAAATTCTATATCTCTATGCATAAAAAGAAAGTGTACTACCAAAAGAGGAGTTAGGTAAGTGATTGTGTTGTATAAACCTACACAAGTATTAACATTGTATGTCTTGAATTAAAACTATTAAATAAGAAACTACTATGAATAACAATTAGATACACACAAAACAAAATAAATGCAGCTTATGGAGAAAAATGTTGATATGAAATATTTCATTATAATGTAAGTCTACATATATTCAATAGTTTAATCAAGTCTAATCATCTATGCGATATTAGTAGAGCTTTATTACACTAACTACTGCTTACCTTTCTACTGAACATCTGATAATATGCTCTTTAACAAGACAAAGTTGTGAATCAAGAATCTCCAGTGCATTTGTATACATTGTATTCAATGTGTCAACAGCCAATTGGATATCAGCGCCTGCATGAGTTAGTTCAGGTCGAGGGATGAAGATCTGTTATCGTTGTTTTTTTAATTAGTTTTTGAAAAAGAAACAAACAAAAAACTTTTGTAAAAAAGTATATTTGTAAAATCTCAGCGAGATTGAAATGAGTAATTCCAACGTTTCGTTCGGCAACCTGGTCCGAACTTCTTCAGGGAATGTCTACTTCTTACTCGGTGCCCAAATATTTTAGAACTATTCTGTCAAATCTTGACTACAGTTCATTTGAAACAAAAAACTGTTTAAAAAATTTCTACATTTTCCCAATCAAATAGATGGGCGCCCAACAGTTGTCTACATTTTTTTGGTCAGCTAATTTATTAGTCTTGGATTTTGAGTCAAAGAGGACTCCCACTTTGGCCACACACACACACTATAGGTATGTGCGTTTATCACGAATCATGCGAGTGATTTTGCAGATCGTATTCATCTCGTCTTCTTTTCCTGTTAGGTGAATCTTCTGATCCGCATAGTAGTATTTGAATGAAATGATTGTATGTGTTGGTTTGTGCACGATATCTATGCCGAATGGTTTTAGTGTTGTACTAGCTCTTATTTCAAAAACATTCTTTACAAATAGCAAGGATGATTTGTCTTGTGATTTATGAAGGCGGTTGGTTTGCTGCTGCTGCTGGTATAGTTCGATTCGTGTTGACAGGATATCCGTTTTTGTTAATGGCACTTATTAAATATGTTTTGGTTTTATTCTCCTTAGAACTGGAGTGTGCCGCCAAATAGGAAAAAAAATTCATATTCCAAGTCAATAAAAATGATCAATAGAGAGAGATGCAAATTAACAAGCAATCATGAGAAAGATTATGTCTGTGCCTGTTAATTATTATAACGCTGATGAATTCGACCGGTACCCTAATACGTCTATTTGTCCGTAGTACTTTCCAATTCCAAAGACAGGACTCCATGTGAACATAGACGAGACGGAGGTGATGAAAATAACCAACCAACCAACAACAACCGCAGCGGCATCCAGCGCCAATCATCATCAGCGGGATGGATTTGAAATAGGTCACTTCATTCACTTATCTAGCACTGAGCATTGTCTCAACTACAGGAAGTCGGAACGGACGAGGATGTCAAATCGAGCGAGAATCGGGAAGGCGAGAAGCACACACATTCATCAACCTGAAACAACCAATCTGGAAATCTTCGCCACTCAGCTAACATCAACAACAACAAAATTCAGTCGGATTTTCAATACAAACAACGTCAAGTCAGTCAGTTCTCCTATACGGATCAGAAACTTGGAGGGCGGGTCACAAAGAATATTTCCAACAGGCTATTGCAGACCAGACCTTTATCAACAACTGTCTTCGCTGGCTCTATACTGAAGATCAGATGACCGGGCCAAAAAGAATCACCAACAAGAAACTATGGAAACAAACAAAACAAGAACCAATCGCTAGCCAACAAATATGCAGGAGAAAGTGGATGGAGATGGATTGGATGCTCGTTGAGGAGGTCGCTGGGTGACATAGCGCGCGCGTCAGGCCATTTCTTGAGTGGAACCAGGCCGAAAGGGGAGCGGCGAGTGGGACGTCAGTGCAAGGGTGACATGGAGGAGATCGTGTGAAGAGGAGTTGAAAGAGTATGGACTAACATGGATGCAGGTGAAAAGTACACCAGAAGGAAGACAGAAGTGGCAAATGGAGACGTGTAGTTGAAGCCCTATGTTCCACTAGGAAACCAAGGTAACAATAATAATAATAACCATCCGATTCACTGAGCCACGTAAATATCAAAAGACAAAGGCTAACCTGAGGTTGTTAGATACTGTTTAATACAATTTAGGAAACAACACATGATATTTGCACATTTTATTTGCCAAAATACAGTCGGCTCATAGCTATGAGAATGGCATGGATTGATCTTATCGTCTGGTTTCTAGCTATTCCCATCGGTTGGTGATCCAACAAAGATGATGAATTGATCACACACTCACACTAAACCAAAAGATACGTGAGAAATGATACATTCACCTAATAATAACTCCATCACAAGATAAATCACACGATTTATGAGAAAAGATTATTAACATACTTATTTTATGCTGATTCCTATTATGAATTTAAATAAATTCACTACACTATTCAGGTATGCATTGAAAGTGTCGTATCCAGAAGGATAATGATAGCTTCGCAAATGTAGCACCACCCTAAGTTAGACAATCCACCCATAACATGATCGTATGTCTAAGCTACAAGTCATGTCTATAATATTATATTTGTCCAAACCATTTTATTGTTCAAATACGCTATGCATATATTCATATATAGATGAAAACTGTATCCTGCATGTTACAACTCGTCACAATACATCACACCATTCCAAATGATGTGATGCTCATCGCTAATATGGCCAGGGAAGTGAGTAGGTGGTGGTGGTTAAGTTCAATTTTATAAACCAATAGAAAAACAGTGAATTGTGTAATGAAGTTCATTTAACACATATCCATCATAAAAAACCTCTAATACAGTTTCGATAGTCTATTCTTCACGTATCAGGATTTTATTATTATTCCCATCCCATAGATTACGACTGGTGTAACAACAGAAGACAAGGGCCAGGCAACATATCGTTTATTTAGGGAATCAACAGATATTTATAGATTTTCATGTACATTATTATAGATTATTGTTAGCAGAAAAATACGGTCTTCTGATTGGTTGTTTCTCACTAGAAGTTAATCTTTCATCTCTTTGTGGCTGTTTCTTGAATGTCAGATCATCCATCTGCTAATTGTGTCCGCCTACGCAAAGTATGCTGTGGTTGGTTGTTGAATCAGTCTTTGTTATTGTTTTCACATGACCAATATTTGGGACATAAACATTGACGTAAATTACTGTCCACCAATTTGGCTAGCAGCCAGCTCTCATCACAGTGGAATATAGGGCTTCACAACAGGGGACCTCCATTTCACCCTGTTCCTTGCAGTCATGTCTATCTGGCTACACATAAGCTTTCATCTCTTCGTCACATAATATCCTCCATGTCACCGTCGGACAGATGTTCACCTTGCCGTTTCCCATTCGGGTTCCACTCAGCGGTATTCATAGTGTGCGCCTGATCCATCTCCACATTTTTTGCGAATATTTGTTGGGTAATAGGTTAATGGTTGGTTTGTTTATTTGCAGTTTTGTTTCTTGTCGCTAATCTTGTCTAGCCGGCCGGTCATCTGATTTTCAGCATGCAGCCGCCCATTGGAAATGCTTTCGACGATACACCATATCTCTGAACCATACAATAAACAATAACACTGACTTGATATTTTAGTGTTGAAAATTCGAGTGTGTGTTGCTTTTTATGCTTAATGAAGCAGATTATACCACATTGATTTCAGATTAATGAACATATCTCCTCCTTTTGCATTTTCGGCTCTCACTGGCTAGCTCTGAAATCCTCATCTGCTTGCAAAGTGAAACGATATTGCTTAAAAAAGAGTGGAAGAAGTCATCTCTTCCAAAATTTCTCTTGTTGACAGAAATTGGTGATTATTTGAAGTACTGTCTTCGCTGTCTACCAGACCTCTTCTACCAACTTGTTGGTATTCGCCTTTAGATTTTCAAATTCACCTAATATTAGATGTAAATCATCCACGAAGTTCAGATCTTCTAGAATCATCTTGTCGGTTCTGTCTTCTTGTATCCACACACAACTTTCCACGCCGCATGATCCAGTTCTCCACAATCAGGAATATCATCTCCGGTGATAACAGACAGTCCTGTCTTACCTCCTATCTTATCTGGATTTAAGATGTATTTTAGAATAGTGAAAACCATAAGCTTTGATAAGAAGCCTTGTGCTGTTTCTGGGTGAACTGTTAAAACAATATAAATGTATATTTTCAAATATTGGTTTTGTAGGGATTTTGTTTGATTGGATGGAAGATTTCATCATGAGCTGACATCAGTTAAAGAACCACTGGAAAACCTGAGAGTACTGGACAGCTGTTAACTCCGTCCTAGCTTGGGGCTCTTCATCAGCACGCACCCACCGCCGTGGTTCGAACCCAGGACCTTCTGGTTACAAGGCGAGCTATCTGGTAGACCATTGAGCCACTGGGACCCGACCCAATGGCCCATCAATTCTAACTTCTGTCAATACACAACACGGCGTGACCATTTCATAATGTCTTCTTCAATGAGTTACTGCCTCATCTTCAACCTGCTGTACCCCACTGGTCACGGCTTCCCACTAGAACCTCAGGTGACTACCTGAAAAAGGCCAGTCGCTAGTGAGTATCAGATTAATTTTCAAGTATTGGTTTTGTAGGGATTTTGTTTGGCTGGATGGAGGATTTCATCATGAGGTGGGTGCGTGCACACCGATGAACAGTCCCAAACTAGGCTGACAAAACAGCTGTCCAGTACTCTCAGGTTTTCCAGTGGTTCTCTCACTGATGTTAGCTCATAATGAAATCCTTCATCCAATAAATGTAGATCTCAATATAGGAAAAATATTCATTCAGACATTTAGAAAAAAAATTTAGCAAAGAATATCCTCTTGTGACTCTACAATTATATATATATATATATATACAGAATATTCTAGAATAGTCGTCAATACCAAAATTGGTGTTTTTAAATACTATCAACTTGTTAAGACCAACAAAATTACAGTTCAAGAAAGACGCATAACTTATAATAAGCATAAAATTAAAATGTAAATAAAATATCAGATAAAATTAAGTTTCGCGGGGATAACATTAGTGAGATATTAACACAACGCCTTACGAATGTGGTAAAAAGAGCGTTGACTGCTGCTGAATTATGCTATGTCTTCAAAACCACTCGCATTCTGCGTTCGAGAGTAAAAGATAAACTACCTAATTCTGCCTCTTCTATGTGTATCTACCAGTTTGACTGCCCCTGTGGAGCTAGCTAGCTACATAGGCCGTATAATTAGACCTCAGGATGGTCGGGGGTGGGTGTCTTGCGCTGCGGGTTGGCCACCCCTCCGTACACCTCTTGAAATGCTCCCATATGACCGGGCGTCTTACAAAGCCTCTCCTGAGGAAGTTCTTCTCACTGCCTTCACGTGGCGGAGGTGTCTTTTCACCGAAGTGAGAGGCCAAAAGCGGATGCCCGGGGCTCTTCACCGGGTTGACTGTCCATTGGATGATAGTCTAGGGGAGATGTCTAAACCCTGATTCCAAACCTCCAACGACTGGCGTATGAAGCTCACCGGCAGACGTATGGACAAAGGGCTTATTGGATGCCCTGCATGACTGGCCCCATTCAAAAAGGCGAATGAACCGGATTCCAGTCACCGGCTGCCAGTGGATAGTGGACTCCCTACTCCACTCCTACTGCCTTGTAGGTCACACTTGGTTGTGTAAAGGCTAGAGCTGCACTCTCAAACAAAGGCCGAGCGATGCTGGGGACATCACTCGTACCCAATTTCCATGAAACTTCATGTTTCATGAAGCCGGGTCATCCTCCCGTAGGAGATAGCCGAAGTAAAGTAAAGTAAGTATAATTAGGCGTGTTTACCGTCAAATTTCCGAACACCATCCTACGTGGTTGGTTAAGTAAGGGATAAACAAAATTCAAACACAACTCTATTCTATCTCATCTCATGGATACAGAACACAAGATTGATGTTAACGAGGTGGCTTTTAAAGTGATCTATCACATACCAACTAATCTTGCCTTTACCTTAAGAGTTCGTCTATTACATATATTATTGGGATTCAACATTAAGAAACCTAACTTATGTATCCAAAAAAAGTTGGTTTAGAGACTGTCTTTACCCACCCCCCTCTGACCACTAGGGCTTTAATGATCCTCAATTCAATGTAAAAATTTCCCTAATTTTATTTGATATTCTATTCACCATTACATTTTTGTGCTTATTATAACTTATGCGTCTTTCTTCAAGTGTAATTTCATTGATATTAACAAATTGATATTCATTGATAAAAACACCAATACTGTTATAAAGCAATAAGAAGACGTAATTTGTCTGAATCGCGTGTGTAATGTATTTGCGTGCAACACATTTCGAACAATCTGATCACACACGGACTTGTCATAGGAATACAAATATGAAATTAATAAAGAGGTAAGAGGTGAGAAAAAATTGACTTAGGTCAGGTGAAAAGGACGTATTCAAGGTCAAAATAACAATGAAGACCTCTAAACCAAACAGCAGAGGTAATAGTACATCTGCTATCGTATCAAAACAAAATTTACCAAGGAAGGTTTAATGTGATGACGAATTGTTGATTTGAACGCACAAGGTTGGCTTGAACTTTTTAATTGCTAGGGCTTCTACAAACTTTAGGATACGCCCCAAACACGTTTTATAGATAGGTTTAAAAGATGTGTTAACGTCAATTTTATGTCCTGTCTCTATAATATGTTTCTCAGCAGAGGAGCTAGGTCTCCCGTTCTCACCATTAATAGGTTCTGAAGATTCTGTTTGTTTCTGGAGCCATTTAGGAATATGCTCTGAAGCCAGCCTTTACTTTCAGAGATCGATCAGTCCTCCCTTCTATGTATATGTGTCCACACGTACATTCAAAATGGTAAATACAGTGGGATGTGACGTCATTTTTCGTATGTTCGAAGGGCTTAGATAGATATATGGGCCTCACATTCTCAATTATTATGATATTAGCCGTATAAAAAGTTTTTTTTAACAGCAGCGTTCAGCCTTAGTCTAGTTATCAAGCTGCTTTGATGTCCCATATAGAGTAGCTTGATGTACACGTCTTTCTTAAGGGCGAGTTGGAGAGTGGGTCTTGGTGTTCTGACTACTTTATATCTCCTGATGAACTTGTCTGGATAATTGTTATCAACCAGAGTTTGCGTCAACTTTCTTTCTCCTTCATTTCATATATATTTCTATGACAAGTCCGTGTGTGATCAGATTGTTCGAAATGTGTTGCGCAAATACATTACACACGCGATTCAGACAAATTACGTCTTCTTATTGCTTTATCTAAATACTGTTATAAGTATAAAACTTGGGCACTGTGATTGAGTATAACTCTATTATGGATAAGATTTAATTTTCATAAATTACACAGTGGTGTTGCACAGTAATATTAACTGTTGATATTACTGCACAACACTGTGTGATTTATTGAAATAAAATTTTATCCATAATGGAGTTACACCAATACTGTTATTGACGATTATTCTAGAATATATTTCATACATTTATTCCCCTTAATAAATATGAATAAAGCAAGAACAACAGCTTTTGCAGAATAAAATGGTACCATCATCGATTATTTCTGTAGCTTCTCATCAGCGGCTTGCTTACTGGTCAAAGTCATTTTTTGAGTATATCTACAGAAACAATTTCAACATACTTGCACAGAGTTCATTTTTAAACAAAAATCAATCAATCAATACATGCATACAATAATAATACTAATACCAATAATAATAAACGCTCTCCCGAACAATAATGATCATACACAATGGAAACCTTCGACGCTATGTAATCAGATGAAAAAAAGAGCGAAGTATCCAGTTACCAGGATGGCAAGGAAAGACTGACAACTGTCTCTTTCTCGACGCATAAATCGAGTTTCGAGCGCTCCATAGAGATTGCTTCTGTAAACTTGGGGAGAAGTGAACTCTTTTGCCTATTGATAATTTTGAACAGTCTTTCGATATCCACCCTATGAGTCGTGTCAAAGGTACGTCTGGTAATGACACTGTCTAAAGCATTTGTTCCAAGCTGGAGATATAGGCTTTCGGCTACATGTTCAGAAAATCCAGGGTGTGCCCTCCTTTCTGTTCTCTCAATGTAACTGCTCCCACAGATACATGTAAATTTGTATATACAGTAGGAGCTAACACGAGAAGGATATCTATCGATTTTTGATTACATCAAAAAGCATGTTGCTCGATAGATGGTAACCAAATTAGCTGCATGATAGGCTCTGACTAGCGACGTCCTCAATTTTCTGTTGACAATTGTTGCAATGTTTTCACCCTTATTATCAAGTTGAATATAGATGGGCTTTTTCCCACTGTGATTTGCTTGACATTTGAGCCTTCACATCTTCCGTACTTGTTAATGGACCTGTTAATGAACGGTCACCGCCGCTTTACAACATCTTTTCGAGAAACATAAATTCTTCCTGTTGTTTCTCTGTAGAGCATGATCTCCTAGCTCTATAATACAGAGTTTTGACTAGTCTTCGCTTAAAGCTCTTTGGAGAAAAACTATTAAAATGCAGGTAATGTCTTTTTCAAGTAGGCTTTCATTAAGGTGACTTCTGGAGACTACCATGTTCTAGGCGTTGCATGACGATGTCGAGGAATGAGAACTTTCCATCATTTTCATGTTCCATAGTAAATTCAATATTGGTATGTGCGTATTTAAGTAATGTCAAGAGATTTTATTGTGTATGATCATTATTGTTCGGGAGAGTGTTTATTATTATTGGTATTAGTATTATTATTGTATGCATGTATCGATTGATTGATTGATTTTTGTTTAAAAATGAACTCTGTGCAAGTATGTTAAAATTGTTTCTGTAGATATACTCAAAAAATGACTTTGACCAGTAAGCAAGCTGCTGATGAGAAGCTACAGAAATAACTGATGATGGTACCATTTTATTCTGCAAAAGCTGTTATTTTTATTATATTCAAATTCTGTAATATTCTTTGAATATATATATATATATAAGTAGAGAACGGATAAAGAACTTCATCTGGAAGGAAAACAGTCATGCTTAACAAGTTCAAACAGTATTCGTTAACTATCATTGGGAAGGGAAGAAAGAAGGAAATTGCAACACGTTTAATAGCACGCGATAAGTTTCATTGATTGTTTGTTGCTTCATTCAATTCATTGTGTGAGAGCTGAGATACTGTCCGGGCGCCCAGACCGAAGCAGGTGGTTTTATTAAGGGACCACACCCGAGCCTTTGACTTGGAGTCTAATCCACAGGGCAGCGGAGCAGCGTCAGGAGCTGCATTCCCATGGTTTCCGGTGTCCCATATGGGTTCATACGCCATTTGATCCGATTGGATACTAGAGCCCATGTACTCCATGGTAACTGCTTTTAGCTTAACCGCTATCCAAACAACCTTCCTGACATGGTAGGACCTGCAGGCACAGAGTCCCAGTCAGTTTAGCATGTTGGGTCATTACGGTATTCAAGCCCGACCACCACGACAAGGTAGCAGTTATCGGCCGGGTATCTATTGAATAAAAAAAATAGATTTTATTTTTTTATTTTTTATGTATTGAATAAAAAACAGCAAAATTACGGACAATCATAGAAATATAAGTATAAAACTTGGGCACTGTGGTAGAGTATAACTCCATTATGGATAAGATTTTATTTTGACAAATAACACAGTAGAAAAAGTGAAAAAAAGAAACTATACCTGACTAAGCTTGTCATGTAGAACATATCTACGATAGAGTAACATTAAATCGGACAGTTTATCAATAGCCAAATAAATAGATATGACTTGTCTCAACTGTTCAACAGAACGTCTTGATACTGTAGAGCTTTTTGTAGTTGTAATAAAACCGCATGTTTCAAAGCCTTCTTTTAAACGTGTTTCTAATTGTTCTTGTAAATTGACTGTTATCCAGTGAATACGCTTAAAACAAAAGCAAAGAAATGAAAGAATGAAGGATTAGCCCCGTCTTATACAACATATTGTCAACTGGGATTGCACATGAAAGGTACACAACAAATTACGTTTTGATAGTTATTATTATTTTGTTACTATTAACAGCTGTCTTCACTGAATACTCAAGGCGGTTGTTACTTCCCGGCTGCCCACACAGGGAAAGTTGATTGTTTCTTCGGGTACCTGGAACAGAAAGAGGGTTAGTGTTGCGTGACCGCAGAGCTCAAGGGACAAGTGCTTGAGGCCGGTCACACACGGCCTGAATGAAGTGGTTTCTCTGATTAGTTCCGTATTAGTAAACTTACCGTCGGTTACGGACCACTGTAGGGTAAGTCGGGATGTACAATTTCTGGGGTCAACCTTTTCTAACCCCCTCTCTCCGGAGTGCAGAGACAGCATAGCTGGCATGCTGGTCATCTGAGGGAAACACCTCACTGCTGTTACACCCCTATTCCCCAGCAGTACGACTTCGCCGAGAGACCCGCGGCATAGTGTAAGAAAGATTCTTACACGAAGCCGGTAACTGATTTTAGTCGAATCGCTATCCTAACAACCTAGCTGGCATGGTAGGACCTGCAAAAACATTGGTTACAGCCAGTGTAGCTTTTTGGGTCATCGTAATGTGCAAGCTCGACCACCACGTCAAGATAGCAGCTATCGGATACAAGGATATAGGATACAACGAGTTGATCGTGAGCACAGGGGTGATGTATATATATATATATATATATATATATATATATGGAGGAGGTGAGAGACTATGGGCAATCACGAAGTCAGTTAAACAGGACCGCTAAATATAGGACAAGGTGAAGATGTACTGTTGAAGCCTTGCGCTCCATTCGGAACCTAAAGAAACAGTAATAATCATAATAACAACAATAATTCCTTTCACAGGAAACCATCAAAGCAACAAGAATTGTATGAAACAGTTTTTTTAAGGTTACCGATTTTAAAGAATTCAGAATTGGATGATCACGACATTTTTTAACAAAAAATTGAAGTTTAATATATTCATTAGCAACACGATCCATACGTTGTCCAGTATCTTCATGTAAACTTTGGAAAAAAGATAAAAAGAAAAGAAAAAGAAAATGGTTTTTTGAGCATTTTCTTTAATTATTAGACCAAATAAAAAGTTAGAAGTCAATTACACAGAACACATGCACTATGAAAGGTATGCATTATTGCGTGAGAGCTGAAGAGAATCTCTACCCAACTGTTAAATATGTAGAGACAGTTGGTGGTTGAACGTAGAAAATGCTGGCTGAAAAAAATCTAATCAAATAAAATTCATCTTTTCACACAACGAATACCGACAGTTAGACAGAAGTCTCATGAATATTTTGACCCGTATTAATAACCTGACAGTTTCGAATTGAAACAAGACAGGCATTTACGATGCATAACATATTTCTGATAATCGTATTTCAGACAGTGTACCATTACGAAAATTTAAAAAAAAACATTAACCTGTGTACAAATGGATCAAATAAAAATGATATCTCTGGACATAACATCGTTATTCAAAATTGTACCTTTAATAGAAACAGTTAATTACATAGGTGAACAAGTGGACAAACTGTCGATAAACATTGGCATACATACTGAGATCTTAAAAGAATTGATATTAAGATGTACCATGAATGTATTTTTATTTTTTTATTTTTGATTACAGCTTGATTCCACACCGTATTTTTGGTACAAGCATGGAATTTTCAGCATGAATATCGGTAGCCCAAATTTCGCAGGCCGACCATAGATATCAGGTGTGCGTCGGCGTGGGCTCGAACCCCGGACCATGTTGCATGGTCGGCGAGAGTTCTAACCACTGTGCCACCGACGCACATTTCAAATTTAACGGCATGCTTTACAGACAAGTGGGCGTTGATAGCGATTGTTACCTGTTGTTGTCGGTTGTTGATTGCTTATAATCCTCAACTTTACATTTTCTCTATGTTCAATTGAAGTCCTGTCTCTAAGTGAGTGTGTACACACCGACCTAATTTTGTTATGATATTAAGACAGGGAGAATGGGCGGACGGTGCGTATATATTACAAGAAAACCAGATGGAAGGATAAAAAGAAATTTGCATAGATAAAATACTTGAGCATTCACAACATACACATTTTTACAGCTTCGTTCCTCTCAAGTACCAAAAAAATTTAGTGAAGACCCCCACTAGGCCACAGAGTTAGAGCTATATGCTCAGAAGAAGCAATTGAAGAGGAATTAAGCATTGTATATGATACTTCGATTGAAAATAGTTAGCTACCCCGACAAATTTATCAAGAAACACATGACAAACAAAACGGAAAAGGAATACTCACTATCTGTAAACAAGAAGCCTCTTTATATACGACTACAATTCATGGGCGATATACCAAGCGAAATAGTTGCGAAGAAATTAAGGAAATCAGTTCAAAGAACTTTTAATGCTGGCGAACTACACGTATTATTCTCTACACGACTGATGAGGCCACCTCGACTGAAAGATGAAGCAGCTAGACTGGCCACTTCAAATTGTATCTACCAATTCAACTGCGCTTGTGGTGGAGCGAGTTATATTGGCCGTTGCTTTAGGAACTTGATTTTTCGTGTTTGCTGGGGAACACCTCCCAGTATGGCTAAATAAAGGTGTAGTGAAAACCATAAACAGTTCGATATTGGACCACCTGGTAGCAAACTGGCCGACCACAAAGCCAGCCAGCGTGGGAGTATCCTTCTCTATCGGCATCTACCGGGTGCATAATAAATTGCCAAAAACATCGAAGCAGCAGAAACTATTGAAATTTGCCTCAAACAACCAGTGCTGTGTGTTCAAAAGAAGCGAGTCCAGCCCCTACTATCGCCCTTGCCTTCAGTAGAGACGATAAATCCATGAATTTGTAATATTATCTCTCCTAATTTTTCTGACATTCAGTTTATTGTTATGTTGATGCTATTGAACTGTAATCTATCAATATTATTGATTTGATGTTATTTAAACATTAATGTCGTTCATAACACTAACTTATTCATTCACTATAATGTATATATAACTGTAGAGCCTGATGATGAAGAGGTTATCGAAAAGAGTACTCTTTGTTCAGTATCCATTCTTTTGAAAAATACACCCAATACTAAGACGGATTAATTGCAAAGTCTATTATTGAATACACATATGTAATATTAGAATTCCTTAAGGAGAATGTATTTCCATATAATTGATTTCTGTTAATCAATACAAGACTTATGTTTGAGACATATATGGCATTGGAGTTGAAACCAAATCAAATGTTAAATACCTTGGACTGTGTGGATTTCCTTAGAATACCTTATCTGGTCTTTCCACATCATGTTAGTTTCCAGAAAGATATCTCGTTTGATGTTCTAGCTAAGTAAGGGAATTAAGAGGATCCGGTACCATTCCGTCTCTACTATCACCATTCGTCAATTCTTGTATTTTCTGCCTATACTCCTTTGCTCTTCCTCTTAATCCTTCCCATGCTACTTAAGAAAGACTTTGTTATACTGTGTAGGGCGCTAAAAGTCGTCAGTAGGACGAGTAAGGTGTTGCTAAACCAACTCATTAATACCACTGTACATAGAAACTTGGATTCCTGCAAGAAATAAGCAAATATTAGCCTGTCAGACTCTGAACATCCGCTCCATACACAACTCTCTCCTTGCACATATATACGTACACGCACATGAAAGTATAAGCTAGCTGATGACTTCATCAAAAAGAAAATTATCTTAGTGAGGTGTCTCTTCAGTAGAATCCACTGAAGACACACTTGATGAGGAAGGAAGAAAGTTGACACAAACTCTGGTTGATAAAAATTATCCAGACAAGTTCATCAGGAGATACAAAGTATTTCATACATTTATCACCCTTAATGAATTTGAACAAAGCAAGAACTACAGTTTTAGCAGAATAATGTGGTACCATCATTTATTTCGTTGGCTTCTCATCATCTGCTTACAGCCTAAATAAATTTTGAGGTTTAAGTACAGAAACGTTTTAACATACTTGCAAATTTTACATGTTGTCAGTTGGCAGAAAATTCTACAATCAGTAAACAGTGCTCAGAAGATTGCGCTTATATAGTTTTCACACAGGCAGTTCAAGTTAAAACAAAATAAATGTATGCAGAAAATGGTAAAGGAGTTACGTAATAAAGATGAGATGTGCGTTAGATGCATAGTGACTAGTAAGTTAGGTAACAATGTACTGAGTTGAGCTCAAATCATAGAAACAAGAGACAAGCAAAATTGCAGATTATAAAAGGGAGGGTGGGGTTGAAGACAAAGATTGCGTAATCAGATGAGAGAAAAAAAGGCACCCAGTTACCAAGGCAAGGAAAGACTAATAACTGCTTCTTTTTGAACACATAGATCTGGTTTCAAGCGCTTGATAGAAATCGCTTCAGCAAACTTAAGGAGAATTGAGTTCTTTTGCCTATTGATAATTTTGAACGACTTTTCAACGTCCACCTCATGACCCGTGTCGAGTAGATGCCTGGCGATGGCACTGTTTAAAGCATTTGTTCCCTTTAGACGTAAGCTCTTTGGTACGTGTTCAGAAAATCGTAGATATGCCCTTCTTTCTGTTCTTCCAATGTAACTGCTCCCGCAGATACACGTAAATTTGTATATACAGTTGGAGGTAACATGAAAAGGATATCCTTTTAAAATCTGTAATTTTGCTTGTCTCTTGTTTCTATGATTTGAGCTCAACTCAGTACATTGTTACTTAACTTACTAGTCACTATGCATCTAACGCACATCTCATCTTTATTACGTAACTCCTTTACCATTTTCTGCATACATTTATTTTGTTTTAACTTGAACTGCCTGTGTGAAAACTATATAAGCGCAATCTTCTGAGCACTGTTTACTGATTGTAGAATTTTCTGCCAACTGACAACATGTAAAATTTGCAAGTATGTTAAAACGTTTCTGTACTTAAACCTCAAAATTTATTTAGGCTGTAAGCAGATGATGAGAAGCCAACGAAATAAATGATGGTACCACATTATTCTGCTAAAACTGTAGTTCTTGCTTTGTTCAGATATAAAGTAGTCAGAACACCAGAACCCACTCGCCAACTCGCCGGCAAGAAAGATATGTACGCCAGACATTAGGGTTAAAAACAGAATTTCGATCTTATTTCTCCTACTGGAAGCTGAGTAATGCAGGCCTGTTTCGCTTTCCCTACCTAGCGTGGTAGACATTATCACCTTCATCTGTACCACCTATCGTTGAAACGATGCTGCTAAGTCAGGTTAATGCAAGGGACAACTTCTTTTATTTAATGTCAACTTATCTTTATTTGACAGATGGAGGGAATCAACAGAAAGCTTTGACTCGCCTAAATTTCGTAATTGTCGGCACTCGTCATCAGCAAGGCGTACGTTCAATCTTTAAAGGTATGCGCATCTCCTTTCTGAGATTAAAACCCATGTCACTCAGTTTTATAAGGTTTCAATCTCACACAAGCTCGAATACCTCAGTGGTAACGTCTCTCAATATAGTACGCTAGATGACATGGGTTCAAATCTCAGAAGCGACATAAATTCCTTCAAGATTACAAAAATACGCATTGCTGACTGGTGGTGAGCGTCGACAACAAGGCACGAAACCTAAGCAAAGCAAGGCTTTCTACCAACTGCCGTCAACTATCTAAAATAAGAACAATAATTCAGAGTGTTAGAGTTACTGTCTAGCATGATGGTTGCACTGTAAACTTGAATTCGATCTGTACTAACACCAAGGACTAGACACACACGCCTGATATTAGTTACCACCACCTATTGTCCAATCAAAGTAACTTGTTTTACAAAGTGGACGACATCGAATGACCTTGGCGGCCTGTTTGAATATTTTTGGGCTACCACATTCCATGTACATTTTGCATCTATTTACTCGTATTTTATTGGTATTTACATATCACATTATGCATTCTAATCGTATTATCCACTCCCGGGATTTTATAAAACGTTTTAAACCCAAAAACTTTCATATTTGCAATAAACTCAAGAAAAAGCACCATGGAGGTTGGCAGCGTGCCTTA